TTTTATGGAAAGCCAGATATCCTCCCACTCCAATCAGAAGAAATCCAGCGATCATCAGGCCAAATATCCACATATCTTCGACGTCCTCAATGGAGAGCTGAGAGAGACAGATGATATTCCACTTCTTCCAGGAATCGAACATATATCCCGCTGAGTGTGTCCCTTGAGGGCAAGCGCGAGCCCCCTCCTCCGTCCTCATTGTAGAAAAAAATCTTATCAATCGCGTTGAATGACCAATTTATTAAATCCATGCTGAAAAATAGTGATTGCAGAGGAAATGCAGAGAAGCGCTCTGTAGGCAGACGGGACAAAAAGAGCCTTGGGAAAATACAGATAAGGGAGCAAAAGGCAGAAGCGACTGTTCTCTGTGAGTGCCGGAAGAAAATGATGGCTCTGATGGACAGCAGGTGGACATGTGTCCAACACAGTAAATCTGTGGCGACACACAACAGTGGGAGGGATTGAACTCCCCCTTGGCGATTTATGTAGGCTGCCGCCACCTGGTTGTCTGTGTGAACTTCGACATGACGGCCCTCGAGAAGGTCAGCGAAGTGTCTGATCACATTCCTCACTGTCGTAAGCTCCAACACATTTATGTGCTCATGCATGTGGGAGGGCCAGCGATCTGCCATCGTATGGGACAAGCACGTGCCCCCCACCCCGACAGTGACGCATCCGTAAACACAGATACGTGTGACGCAGGACGTCCGATGGGAACCCCGCGTGAGAGTATGCAGGGGTTCCCCCAGTGAGCAAGATCCCCGCCCACTGAAGGGAGAATCCTCAACATACGCCTCTTCTGACGTATCGGGTGCACCCGGAGGCGGATGAACCAACGTTGCAAGCGCCTCGTGCGCAGCTAGCGGCACCACCGAATGGGCTGCGGACATCATGCCCAGGAGTTTCATGACTAACAGCGCTCTCACGATCTTGCGGGGTTGTACACGGGAGATCACCGTGGAGAGATCTGCCACTCTTGCAGGCGACAAACGTGCTCTCATTAGGGAGGCGTACAACTCCACCCCGAGATACACAATCGACTGGGATGGAAGGATGGAGCTCTTCTCCCAGTTTATAGAAAACCCTAGGGTTGACAGATGCTCTGTCAACCTCCTGGTTTGCTGTGACGCCTCGTCCTTGGACCGAGCGCACAGGAGAAGATCGTCCAGGTAAAATAAGACCCTCATTCCCTCCGTGCGCAGTGGCTGCAGCGCGGTCTCCAGACATTCGGAGAAGGTGCGCGGGGCTAGCGAGTAGCCGAAAGGGAGGCGATTGAACTGATATTGAACTCCCTTGAACGAAAAACGCAGAAACTTCCGGTGGTTTGGAATTACTGGTATGTGGAAGTATGCGTCTTTCAGGTCGATTGACGTGAACCAATCCCCGGGGCGCACATATTCCAGGACTTGTCTCATCGTTAACATGCGGAAATGCATTATTGCTATTGAGCAGTTGAACAGGGACAGGTCGAGAATCGGTCTCATTCCTCCCGACTTCTTCGGTACTACGAAGTAGCGGGAGTAGAAGCCCGAGAGCTGTTGTCCATGGGGGACCCGGGAAATAGCGTCCTTGGACAGAAGTTCCTGCAACTCCAGCTCTAGGGCCTGAGACTGTACTTGCAATGTGAACGTCATCTCCACAATCCCGTTGAAGGGAGGTGGAGTGGCTTGAAAATGAAGTGTGTGACCGCAATGAATGGTGTCCGAAATCCATTTGCTCATGATACAAAGGCGGCGCCACTCGTGCCCGCGTTCTGACAGTGGACGCGTGTGCGCGGTCACGTAAACCACGTCTGAGGGCTGTACATGCGCCCTTACCGCCATCGTCCATACCAGAGAACTGGGGGCAACCCATGGAGGGCTGCGCTCGAAAGGGCGAGTGTGAAACAGCTGGAACAGGCTGGTCCGCACCGCAGAGCGTGGAGTCCGAGAGTGAAGGACAAGTAGGAGCCAGGCCCGTGCACGGGGGCGACAGAGTGCCAGCGGATGGAGCCGCGCACTGTGCCGCCACGCGTGGTCGAGACTGCGACCTGACATCCCGCCCCACCCAATGGTGTGGGGAGAGCGGGAAGAGTTGGGCCTGGCCGGATGCTGGGGCCGGAGCGCAAATGGAGCGCACCCTTACGGCTGGCCGTGTATTATGACTACCTGTACCTGCAGGAACATGTATGCGTGCTGCAGTGCTTGGTGTGGGGAACATGTGTGAGAACTCGGCAGAGGATTCTGCGGTGGACTGTAGGATTGCGCTCTTTAAGTGATGTTTTTTGGGTTTTATTTCAAAACCAACATCAACATCATAACAATCATTAACACACACATTCCCCCCAAAGAGTCACTTCCGTGGCTGCTTTTGGCGAGGTTCCTGCACCTGGGACTGCCAAGACAGTGTCTGCTGGCCCCGCCGGAACCGTTGTCCGCCATCTCGCTGGTCCCGCTGATGTGGAGCCGAAGCGGGAGGCCGGCTCCGTGGAGCGGGCGGTGCAGCTGGGCGTCTGAAGCTTCCGCGCCGTTCGTCCCATCCTCTGGTGGAACGGCCGGAGTGCGAGGCTGACCGAGGGTGGACCAGGTCTCGCACCATAGCCGATAGTTCGGCCGTCTTCTGAGCCCTCTCAATGACGCCCCTAAGATGGGGACCAAACAGAACATTGGTGGTGATGGGGCCGTCCAGCATCTCCCTTTGCAGATGTTCCAGAATGGAGGGCAGGGCCTTGAGCCAAATTGCTTGCTGGATGAGGGTCTGCCAGGCAGCGATGCGAGCAGAACCGGTGAGCACAGCAGCAAACAAATTGAGGATAGCATCAGCAGTCTTAGTAATGACGGCTTTCGACTCCTCGGGAGCTTCCAGCTCCTCCTTCATCTTTGAGACGCTGAAGGCAAGAAGGGTGATGTTATTCCCTGCAGCGCCGGTCTGAAAGGCACACTGATGTGCGCGGTCTGTGAGCCGCATCAGCAGCTGGTCATGTTTTGAAGCGGGAACAGCTCGCGGGCCAGCGAGGTGGTTCTTGGCGCCAAACAGCGAGGCCAAGTCCGGCTCTAGCGGAGGAACGGACGGCCAGCCTTGGTCGGAAAACCCCTCGACCTTGGTGATGAGTGCATACGTGGAGACTGGCGCCTTGAGCTTGGCAGGCTCGGAGAAGGCAGCAGACCAGCAGCTCATAGCAGCGGGAAAGCGTGGCCAGATAGGGTCTGGACAGCGTGTCTGAGTTGCCCCGAAAATTCCCGCCAAATCATCCGCTTCAGGCGGGGCCGGTTCAGGCACAGCCAGCCGCTTGCGGGCTGCTGCCGCAGAAATGATGGCGGGCAGCTCCTGGAGCAGTGCTCTTACTGCTGGCAGGGAGGAGCGAGAAGCCACTGGGGTAGAAGGACCCGCTGAGCGAGGCTCGTCGACCTCCGTTATGTCTAGCAGGGGTGCCGCCTCGTCGTAGTTCTCGCTGTCGGTGACGTCATCCAGCCGGTTGAAGCCAGCCGGCTCCTGACCGGCGTTGAAGAAATCCAAAGCCTTGTCCAGCGGGTACGAGTCAGCCACGGGAAATTCTTCGGCGGCGGCGGGAGTGAAGTACTCGACCCGGCGAATCTTCTCCTCCACGGGCAGAGTGGCACAGAATGGGCACGAGGCCTGCGGGATCAAGGCCAGGCCAGCGTGGTGAGCCCCGAGACAGACCTCACACTTAGCGTGCAGGTCACCACTGGAAATGGAGCCCGTCTGGCAGGTCGGGCAGGGTCTGGCATTGCTGGACATGGCTGGTAAGTCGTCTTCTCGGATAATTTGCTCTTTCAGGATAATATTTGCTCTTTAAGGAAGCTCTCAAGCTTGGCATGAAGAGAAAAAGGAGGTGAGCAGTGGGGTCACTGCGGTTATATACCACGAGGGGGCCCACTATTGGTGGGCGTACATTTAAGCTCTTCATGATTGGCTGATGCGGAGATCATCCTTCCAATAGCAGGTCACTTAAGGGCTAAGACTAGACGAAATAGAATTCATTATTCTTTAAGCTGCTGATCTGCAACTACTCATTCCTGTCTCTGCTTTAGAACTCCACCGGAACCACCCGAACTCCGACCTTCATCTTCACCTCCACCGTACAAAAAAAACTTTTTACTTACCTTCTGCCTTTGTGTGTGATTCTGCATGTCGTGGGTCAAAAAGCCACAACCCAACATGACAGTCTTGTTTTTAATTTGTTTAGAAAATAAATTCTTACTTTTTATAAACTTGACTCTGTCTGAATTAATACGAAGTGTGTTATGGTCACTAAAGAAGTAAAGAATCCTAGAATCTTCTGATTAAACATTCAAAGACCAAGCAGGTTGATATCCTATATTTATATAGAATATCACATCTTATTGGCCATAAGTAAAGGTGATATATGAAACTTGAAAGCAACAATATGCACCCCTTCTACAAAGTTCTTGCTGTTCTTGCCCCTGGAAAGCACGTCGCTAAACAAATTAAGCTGCCTTGCACTGACACTGAAATAAATATTGAGTTAGGATTCTTCTACATTTCAGTTTTCCAAATTCTAAAAGTTTAGTTTTGTTTATATTCGGGGTTTACTGTAGATTTAAAACCAAGGTTTGCATGATTTATCTGTTATCATGTCCAACAGAAGACTGCCTCTGATGACTTTTGACTCATTCTGCTAACGTTTCTAAGTGAAACACCGGGTTGACTCAACCCTGTGACTCAACATCCAAACATTCACAACCCTTTTCTTCTAGTGGTCACATGAGTTCACTTTTCTTTTATTCTGCAGCAAATGACTCAGGATCTGTTATGGAAAGAACAAAAATAAATATCTGAAGATGTTAATTTTCACATCCCAGTGAAGTTTGTGTCATTAGTGGATTTTCATCATTTCACGAATTAGAACTAGAAAAAATGTCTTACACAGAACAAAAATGCCACATAGAGACGAGGGCAAAAAGGGCAAAACTTTTTATTTGAACAGAGCTTCCCCATGTGGTGTCATATTGTCACTTCCTGATGCTATATTTTAAGAAAGAACTGCTGTCAGGGTATGTCTCAATGTGTTAGAAACTTCATCCAGAAGACATCTTTTGAAAGAAGGATGAGTCTCCTGTCATTGCTGGTTTTCTGTTTCATGCTTTTCTCAGGGACAGCTGCTGGACTTTATTCTGCTGGTAATTAGCATTTTATTTTGCTGTCACTTACATTTTAATTTCATTTCATTCTAAAACTTCAGGAAATTTACTGATCTAAGTGTGGCTGAAAAATAAAGGAAAATGATGTTTGTTGAAGGCCTGTTGGAAGAGTATCGTCTCCTTATGTCACACAAGCTGTTTTTACAGGACCATCGCGTTTTTTAAACGGGATTTGCCGCGGCACCCTGGTCAGGATTTTGGCATTTATAGTAGCAAAGCTGAAGCTAGAATATACTGCCATCAGGCACCTCTCCAACCAAGATGGGATATAGGGAGGTCGCTGGGCGCCCCCCCACCCCACCCCCCGCATGTGACGTACAGGGGGGGCGATGTGGCAATACTGTGGTGGCGCTAGGGGGCGCTATAGCTACCCCGGGATTAGTCATTGCACCCCCAATTAAATATTAGATTTTTTTTTACAATTTAATTTTAATTTAACATGTGGATGTGATAATATTTAACATACAAAACAAAAATAATCAGTAAATTATCATAGAGATAGTAAAAACTTAAACCAAAACAGGAAATTGATGTTAACCTTTGACCTCATTTTCCACCTGAGAACGAGTGAAAGGTAGAGTTAGTGGTGAAATGGATCGTTTTTGTTGCCCAAATTTCCACGGGTTCAGTCAGAAACGAATGAATGTTTGGAAGTGATCTCAGACCCACAGAAACCTACGGATCTGGATGAAGTCAACCCTCAACCGCCGCAGCAGTCGAGGGTTTTGCTGCTGGAAATGCTAACACTAACGTTAGCTAACCTTGCAACACTATAGATGGTTTTCTGTGTGGCTGTATGTGTTTATGATTTCATGGAAAAGTCAGCGATTGTTCATATGTTTATGATGTATATTAATGATTGTTTCAGGTGTTGTTGAGGTGTTGTGCACGCATGTGTATCTGCTAGTGTTGAAGGTGTTTTAGAGAACAATAGGTACGCATGACCACTTCCTTCATAGCACACTCAATAAAAGACTAGCTCCTTCATAGCACCTGCTGAAAAACATTTCTAGAGCCGCCATTGCGGCAACATTACTACTAAGCGAGGCGGAACGAATGCTGCAATATTTGCGTAACGCCATGCCGGCATGACACGTTCATAGACATACTATTGCAGTAATTTTACTCTGATATGCCGGCATGGTGTGTCCTATAAAAGCACCTACACACACACACATACACATCGTTGGTTGTGGACAGGGGGGTGTTGGGGTGGTGGTGGGGGGGGGATCAGACGTTGTGTTTGGCTTTTATTGTGGAGGCTTTGTGCAGGGTGAGGACTGTAGCGACTAACAAGTCGGTTGCAGCACGTGAAGTGTCGACTGTGGCTGAACAGCTTCTGGGCTTCTCTGGTGTGGATCCCAGAGAAGGTTTGGAGGACTGCTTTTTCGCAGGGGATTGGTGGTCCTGGAGTCGGGGGAAGTCGGGAGCAGTTTTGGTGGTGGACGGCGGTGGAGGGCTGGGGGAATGGTGGAGAACTGCCCTTGATAATGGTTTTCAGAGTCCTGCAGTGAAATGCCAGAAGTCTGGCTGCCGATGGTCAGGAGTTTATTGGACGATTGAGGTCATGGATGCGCTACTGGATGTTATATGTATGCAGGAAATGTGGCTGAAACCGGTGTTGGATTTTAAATTATATGATTACATTTGTGAGAGACGGATAGGGTGGGTAGGCTGGGTGGGGGTTGTTCTACGTTCCTCAGAGACAGGCTGCAGTATTGTTGACTACAGGTTGCCCATGGACACCTTGCCGAGGTGTGGTCTGCTAAAGGGGTGGTGTCGGTGGTGAATTTTTATAATCCAGGTGTGGGCTTGGTGGGTGAGGCTCTTCACGGTGTGTTGAGTGAGGATGCCGCATCAGTGTTGTGGCTTGAGGATTTTAATGCCCACAATGGTTTGTAGGGGGACCAGAACATTGATACAAATAGCAGGGTTCTGAAGGATTTTTTTAGATCGGTCAGGGCTGGTGGTGCTGGATGATACTACTGCTGGCCTACTTGGTTCAGGGGGGATAGAATGTGCTCATCGGGGTTGGAGCTGATGATTGCTTCGACTAACTTGGCGGTGGTGGTTAGTAGGTGGGAGATGTTGGAGCACCTTGGAGCGATCATCAGCCGGTTCTGAGTGGGTTCGTTAGGGCTTTGGTGGAGGCTCCGAGCTGTCAGGTTATGGGGTTTAATTTTAAGCGGGCCCGCTGGTCCTTATATGCACAACAGTTGGAGGATGCAGTGTGCCAGTTGCGGGGAGGTCAGGATGTGGATGAATGGAATTCGGCCATTTCTGGGTGTGTGAGGTTGGTGGCTGAGGCCCACATACATAGGAAGCGGGTTCCTGCTAGGAGGTCAATGGTCCCTTGGTGGACAGGAACATGTGGCCTTGCCATTCGGCCTAGGAACAGGGCCTTTAGGCAGTTCATGAAGCATCCAGTGGAGGTGTCCATGCTTGCCTATACGAAGTTGAGGGCTCAGGCTAGGAGGGTGGTAAGGGCTGCAAAGAGGGCTGGCTGGAGGGGCTTTTGTAGCAAGTTGGGGCACCACACTGCTGTTACATTGCTGTGGGGTATGGTTTGCAGGATGTAGGGGACTCAGGTGCGTCATAGGATACCAGTGGTTGGTGATGGGGGCCAGTTGGCATTGGACGATGGAGCTAAGGCGAATCTGTTGGTTGCTCATTGTCAGAGGGTCAATAGCTTGGCGAACGTCTCAGGGAGGACTGTGCTTTCCGGAACGGGATGGTGCCAGAATATCTAGGTCAGCTGAAGGGGGATGGGGATGGGGGAAGGGACCGGTGATTTGAACCTTTATTTCTCTATGGGGGAGCTGGGCCGTGCATTCTGGAAGGGATACTAGTCCGGGGAGGGATGGCTTGGGGTACCCACTGCTGCAACATGCTGGGGATCTTTTCCTGGAGGAGGTCTCATGCTTTATCAACTCTGTATGGGGGACTGGTTGCTTGCCCGCCAAATGGAGACACACGGTGATTGTTCCATTCCTGAAGCCTGGGGAATCCCCTGGGGCCCTGGATTTATACAGACCTATTGCTTTGACGTTCGTCATATGTAAAGTGATTGTGCGTATGGTCACCATGCAATTGGTGCACTTCCTGGAGCGCTGCAGTTTCTTTGCCCTGTACCAGAGTGGGTTTAGATTTGGGCGTTCCAATATGGACGCTGTGGCGCCTCTGGAGCTAGAGCTCAGGCGGGCATTGGTGAACAAGGAGGTGGTTTTGGCTGTGTTCCTGGACATAGAGAAGGCCTATGACATGCTGTGGAGGGGCAGGCTGCTGATGTCTCTTCATGAGGCCGGAGTGCAAGGTAGGATGTGGTGTTGGATCAGGGGTTTCCTGTGTGACAGGATGATACAGGTGAGGCTGGGTTTGGTGCTGTCAATCGGTCCAAGCACTGAACCCTGAGGTACTCCACAAGTAACCCTATAGTATGAAGAACATTTTTCATGTACATCAGACAGATAGAATTTAAACCACTCTGATCCCTACAACACATTGGAGCCTTTTTAAGAGAATCTTGTGATCAACTGTGTCAAAGGCAGCACTGAGATCTAACAAGACTAGAACAGACACAAGATTCTTATCTGAGGCCATGAGAATATCATTTGTAACTCTCACTAATGCAGTTTCAGTGCTGTGATACTCTCCAAAACCAGACTGAAATTCCTCAGAGCATTAGTGTTTAAATGCTCACATACTTGGATGGCCACTATTTTCTCCAGGACTTTGGATAAAAATGGAAGGTTAGATATTGGTCTATAATTCATTAAGTCATCTAAATCCAGAGAAGAAGTAGTAGAAGAAGAAAAAACAATGTTTTTTTATAGCGCCTCTCAAGATAAAGATCGCAAGGCAATTGCCAATTATAAAAAAACATTGTAAAATTGGGAAAAGTAAAAGTTGTTATGAAAAATTGAGGAAAGGGAAAGAGAAAATGAATAAGAAAGAGGCAATCAGTGGATCCTGGAAAAGGCAGAATTGGTAGAAAAAGTTGAATGAGAAGGTAGTGATGGAGAATCAACCAAATGTCACACAAAAGTCTGAACAGTTGAGTTTTCAGCTGCTTTTAAAGGAGACCACTGAGTCCCACTGATCTCAGGCTCGGGGGAAAGAGTTCCAGAGTCTGGGAGCCACAGAAAAGGTTTAATTACAAATGTTTTCCTCACAAATATCTACATGCTTGCTTAATACAAGGATTGCAGTATAAACACTAGCTACGTTTACATGGGCACAAGTAATGGGAATGGGAAAAACTCGTCATGTAAACATATGGATTGGAATATTCTCATCCGATACGGTGTGATCAAAATTATATTTCATTCCGATTGAGAGAGGTGGATTAGTCTGATCATCATTCCGATTGACGTCCAAGTACACACCCACTCGGGTTGTTCGAACAAAATAATGTCCTCTGTGCATGTGTGCAACTTCAGCGTGACGTCTTTCTGCCTTTGCAGATGCTCAGGACAAGTCAGAGGAGCTTGAGTAGGGTTCCCCAGCCAGTGAGCGGGTGATCATTAGTAAGCCATCCTGCTCTCCGCTCCAGTAGCATTACGTACCACTAAGCCTGTAGCTTAGAAGAAGGTCAATAATGGGAGAACAACGCGGAAGTCAACGAACAAAGCTAGAGAATAAGAAAATAAAATGGGGGGGGGGGGGGGGGAAGACGTGTGGACAAGATAGTGTTTGTTGACATGTTTTTTTCCTGGGAAAGACAACTCTGCACATGTTAATCCTATTTAATCTGACTGAATGCTTACTGCGTGTACTCACGGCATGACCGGATCATTTCAGTTAGTGTCCATGTAAACAGAGATTTGGGATTTCTGATAAACCAAATTTTGAATCAGATAGGAGAAATGTTGCGCAAGTAAACGTAGCTAATGACACTAGTCAGTGACTCGATGCAATCTGCCGGGTTCCTCATAGAAGAAACTTTTTACTTATTAGCATGATGAACTGAACTGTTTGGGAATGTTTACTTTGTGGTGTGCCTTAAGATGACTCTTGTTATGATCTGGCACTACATAAATAAATTGACAATAATTCAATTTAATTTTACAAGCTTTTTGTGCCAAAAAGCTTAATTTGCTGTTTGGTTTTGGAATTGAAATATCTTGTTATATTTAAAATAAGTATTTACTCGATTCTTCAATTTACCTGTTTGATCAAACTGTCCATTTCCATTATTAAACAGAACCACTAAATTCTTGTTTTTGTTTCACGTTTCTATTCCAAACAGATCCGTCTCTGGTGGTTTCCACTGAAGGACAAAGTATCTGTTTGCCATGTGGCGTACCTTCTGAGTCGTGTTCCTCGATAAACTGGACGATGGCAGAAATGATTCCAGGCTGGTTTTCTGATGTGGTGATGGATGGAAGGGTGACATCTGCAGATGCCAGGTATCATCTGTTGAAGGACTGTTCCTTGGAAATCGCTCAAGTCAAACCTGATGATGCCCACATGTACACCTGTCAAAGCGGATCACTTAATTCAAGTGTTTCACTTCAGATCCTTGAAGGTAAGCAGGATTATCTTTATTTCATATTCTGGTTTCTCATGGAAAACTAATTTTGTTTCATTTTTCACAAGTTATTGAGAGCCAAACTCCTGCAGAGGGCACAATAGAGCTTCACTGTTATCTGAACACATTTAAAGGATACGTGCCTTGCAGCAGAAACTCAGACATCCACATCAGATGGACTGACCAGAATGATGAACCACTAAATGGTCAAAGATTTAGATCTGAGACTCTATCTGCTTGCTTCTCTAAACTTTTCATCACCAAAAAACTGACGGACCATCATAGAACGTGGAAATGTCACGTCCTACAGAACAACCAGATTAAAGCCTCCGTCAGTTATGAGACTACAGTAGAAGGTAATAAGCTAACAGGTGAAGGTTGTGCTTTAATAAGTACAGAAAGGGACTGACTGCTGTTTGTTTTCCTGTAGGTGGCCTGGAGGAAGTGTTTGCTGCTGTGGGTGAGTCAGTGTCACTCACTTGCACTTCCTCTCTCAGTTCTGGAGGCAACACAGAGTGGACTGTGAACAAAACACCACTGAGAAACATGTCATCTGAAACCAGCCCAACAAAAGCATTTCACCTGGATGAAGACTCATCGTTGGTGATCAGTAAACTGAGTCCTCTGAATGCAGGAGAATATCAGTGTACTGAGTCCACCGGCCTGCAAAGAGTCCTCAACAAAATCAGGCTGCACACACTCGATGGTAAGGGTCAAGACTGCTAAATGGATCCAGAAACCATCATCAGATCGCCAAATTATCCCTGTTGATTTTTTAACATTGCAGTTAGGGCAGAGTCCGGGTCAGCGGGAGTGAAGCTCACCTGTGTGCTAACTTGTGCTGAACAATGTGAAGAAAACTTTAACCTAAGCTGGTCTGGAACCAGTCGAGAAGGTTGGCAGAGCAGATCAACGACTGTCAATAAAACACTGATCAGCATGATGCTTCTCACAGTTTGGCCTGAAAGCTCAGATGAATTCATTTGTTCAGTGAAGAGAGAAGGTTCAACCATGGCCCTGAAGGAGTGGCACGCTGATTTCTGTGTGTATGCATGGTTATTTTCTCTTAAACTCATATCTGCACAGAAAACATAACAGATGAGCCTTTAACCTCCTCAGCTCTGCAGAAACTCGCCTGGTTGGGTCTCATCAGCCTCCTCATATGTGCAGCTGCAGGAGGATGTTACATGTACAGGAAGTGGAAGCAAAACAAGGATGCAGGTACTGAAACAAGTTTGGAAATATATTTATTTTTTATTCAAACGATAAAATTAAAGTTAAAAGTTGCATGATGAAAATAGAATAAAATATCTGACTTTTCTCCATCTTTTTATGCAGCTAATGAACATCCTGGAATTGGAATGGTGAGAAAACCCACCTGTCCTTAAAGCGCCTCCGGTTTGTTTAGAGGGCCTTTTTAACATCATGCTTCTTCTTCCCAGACTCAGGTTTATGATGTCATTCAGGATGTGGAAGTAAAAGAGCAAAGACCTTTCAAGAGAGAAGCCCCCACCACTGATGATGGTTTCTATGATTTATTACAGGCTGTCAGTTAAGGTGAAGTAAACTGTTTGTTCAGAAAACAACATTTGTTTTTACTCACAAAATCATTTACAAAATGTTTCTTACTAGAAAATGTTAATCGTGTTTATAAATCCTCTACATCTGTCATCAAACTGAAAAATGTTTAGTAGAAATCAACAACAAGCAATGCAATCTGAGTTTCATTAGAATAACGAGAAGTTTCAACAACCAGGATGCAACACTGATCAGAGGATTCAGACCAGACGGCAAAACAAGAGAAGCTCTTCGTGTTTTCCATGAGCAGGTTGAAAACAATTAAGTTTGAACTGAAATAAAGAATAAAATATAGTAAATAAAACAACATTTTTGGAGGAAACATCACTTTTTACGGTACCGGTACTCACAAGTGCTCAAGCTCTCTTCCTGAAACTGGTACAAACTGTTGACTCTGTCTGTCGTATCTGTAGGGTGAAGAACAACACACATTTTCTAACTTTTACATCTTAAGCTTATTGGTGAGGACGGCCACTTTATTAGGTACACTTGCTTAATTTGCCAACTCAAACAGGAAATCAGCAACTCAGTACAGTTAGGCAGTGGTGCCACGCTGACAAGCAGGGAAGTCGAATGTTTGGATCCCCCAGAACACAAGGGGCCCCCAGAGAGCAGACACACTTTGAGGTCAAAGTCAAAAAAGCAGTGAGACAGTGAAAAGCTGTCTCCCTGACTCCTTTTAGGCCCTTTAAACATTGCCGACCACGTCCATCCCTTTGTGACTGCATGGGCTCATCTTCTGAGGGCTACTTCCAGCAGGATAACGCACCATGTCACACAGATCAGATCAACTCTGGTTTCTAGAACATGGCCATGAGTTTACTGGACTCCAACGGTCCTCCACAGTCCCCAGATCTCAGACCTTTGGGATGTTGAAGTAAAAATCTGGATCATGGATGTAACTGTTTGATGCTGTCATGTTAAAAAGGACCAGAACCTCTGGAGAATGTCTCCATCACCTCAGTGAGTTCATGGCATAAGAAACGGAGTCAGCTCCGAAAGCAAAAGGGCCTCAAATGTGATGCAAGCATGGTGTACCTAGTAAAGTGGCCAGTAACTATAAGTTAATGCTGCGATGCGACTAAACGTGGCTGGGAGGATTATTAGATGTAAGGTTTTGCAGTTTTAAGTCAAAAGGAATCAAGAAGAGATGATGAAGCGCTCACTCGCTGCATTTGGAAGAGTCACATTCTCATAAAACTCCTCGAAGTCTTTGGGACGACCTGATTAACGAGAACAGAAATACTGTCATGGTGCTGCACTCAGTACACTAACGTAGAGTTTTCACACTCATCCCACCTGCGATGTGCCTGAGGGGCTGTCTAACCCTCTGCTTGTGGTGAAGGAAGAGTCCTGTCAGAGCAGCGAGCACAACAACCACACAAACCACCGAGAGCACTGGAACCAAGGTCCCACCCCCCTCCAGCTTCTCTCCCGTCTGCACCATCTCACGAGCTGTGGCAGCTACAAAGAAACGACACAATCATAAGATTAATGAAAGAAATATTCATTTTTTCACTCGTCACTAAAATCAGACAGACCTGACTGGGTTGTTTTAGCTTCAGGATCTGGAACCACTGTTGGCACAAAGACTGCTTCTAATATTTTAAACAAAATGGGAAATATTTATCAGCTTGAGCATGATGTTAGTAATTATACAGAACGTCAAAGATCAGACCTTGGACTTGCAGGTTGATCATAAAGCAGCGCTGACTTTGTCCGACCGAGTAAGAACATCGGTACCAACCATAATCTGCAGCAGACACGGACTGGATGGTCAACAAGGATCCATTTGCTTTCAGAGATACCGACTGAGTTCCTTTCATCTTCGCCCAGGAGATGTTTGAATGTGTTGCGTTCACTTGGCAGTCGAGTTTAACAGAGCCACCATTAATTGCATTCTTTGGTTTAAGGGGTTCGCACTCTGAAAGAACACAACACGTACTCCAGTCTACAGATCTCAAATGGTAGTTTTAGAATGAAGAAGTAAAAGGTGCTTTTACCTCTCACTATTAAAGATGTGTTTTTGACCCGAACACGGTCCCATCCAGCAGAGATTTCACAGCTGTACAGTCCTTCGTCTGATTTTTCCAAGGATTTTAGACGAATTTCTCCTCTTTCGATCGTTTCCAAAGTAGCACGTTTGACATCTTGGGATGTTTGGGATGTTTGGGGCCACAGAAAAATAACCTTTTCAGCACTGGTCTCTGTGGCCGCCTTCACCCACCTGAGCCGATTACAGCTTGTGGAGTTGAAATCTGAACAAGACAGGACCACGTCTTTGTCTTTAAAGCCTATCACTGTCTCGTAGGCTGCAGATCCAGCTGTTTAACAAGAATAATTGATGAGAAAAAAATATTTATCATTGTTTCTTCAACTTCTGTCACTGAAAAATATAAAATGTAAAAACTATCGTTTTTATTTATTGTTTCAAATAAAAGATAACACTTACCACTGCAGTTGGGTGCAGCTTTTAATAAAACGGATACGAGAAAAAACCCAAAATAGAAAAGAGCCATTTTCCCAGAGGTGATGGATGGTCGACACGAACGCTTACTTTGGATCTTTACATTTGTTTCTGACCCGTTCGTTCCTTAATATGTAAAGAGATGCTTACCTTCAGGCAGGGGGATTGTTTTGATTGGTTTCCCTATCCTGTGAGTAACAGTGCCATCATGTGGCCAAAACAAAACATTGCATCTACTGTGTTTGTGGCCCAAGCAGCAAATCCTGGCTGGTGTTTTTATGAAGCTTGAGGCTGCTATTGGATGGTCCATAGTTCCTCCTCACAGAGACGTCTGATCTTCTGCACATGAAAACACACAATGCAACTTTTTCAAGCTCAAGCACAACATCTCTTTCTTGCAACACACACTGACCACTGTTAGCTTCAGCCATGTAAAGCAGGAACTTCACCCTCACAGGCTGATACTTTGTCGCTTCACTTCCTCTTCTATCGCGTTTATCGGTTGAGACGTTGTAAACCCTGACACACACAGTGTGAGTTTTGGTTTTCCAGCATATTTCACAGAAATGGACAACAGCCCTCAAGGTTCCTTTGCTTTTTCTTGCATACCCATTGAGTTATGTCTGATTTTACTTGTTTCAGCTGCTGAGGGATCATTTACACAACTTTTCTGAACGAGTTTCGTCTTTTGCCACAGGAGGTAAAGCCTACGGTCTTCTGAAGTCTCAACAGGAGGAAAAACTCAACTCCATCAATGAGGTGAGCTGGAAGGACAGTTAATACACGTGTGCTGGTTTGCCTGTTGGAGCTGAGCAGCAGTATGACACAATACTGAATCAGATTTCTGTCGTCATCAGGCTTTTCTCTCAGACCAGAAGTATGCAGAAGAGGAAGATCTGGCTTCAAAACTTGATTTGTTTAAAAGTACGTCTAATTTATATTTCAGTTTTGTTTTCTCCATCGTAATAAAAACATTTGTGTTTTTGGATTTTAGACAAATACATGGAGTTTGATCTCAACGACAAAGGAGAAATAGGTACAGCAGACGCTCATTTACAGAAACTATTTTTAGGTCGTGTGAGAAACTTTTGTTTTCAGTGTGTGTGTGTGTGTGTGTGTGTGTGTGTGTGTGTGTGTGTGTGTGTGTGTGTGTGTGTGTGTGTGTGTGTGTGTGTGTGTGTGTGTGTGTGTGTGTGTGTGTGTGTGTGATCTACTGGTTTTTACAGATATGATGGGGTTGAAACGTATGCTGGAAAAACTTGGACTGACCAAGACACACCTAGAGCTGAAAAAGATGATGTCAGAAGTAGCTGGAGGTCCATCAAAAGACACAATCAGCTACAACGACTTCCTGAATATGATGCTGGGGAAAAGAAATGCAATCCTAAAGCTGTGAGTACCACATGATAGAAAACTGTTCAGCACAACGGGATGAATGAGGAGTCTCTTCTTAGATAGTGAAACTATAAAATTTGCCAAGCAGCTACTAAACAGATTGTTTTTACTGAATTAACACGTTTGATCATAAGTCATGTGATGTATTTTGTATATTAAACGATATTTTAAAAACAAGGATTGTAGAAAACAAACAAAGCTATGATGTCTAGAAACGTCCCAATAAGCGGATAACTGTGTTTTCTTTATTCAAGGATCTTGATGTTTGAGGGGATGGGGAAGGAGCAGGAGCAGAGAAGCACCGGTCCTCCTTCTCGCAAAACCTTTTCAGACCTCCCCTGAAGTCTCCGTCCCAGATGAAAGACACGCTTGTGTTGTTCACAAGATTTAAAAATAACCCATTTGTCGTCAGAACCGTGTGTTGTAAACTTTATTAGGTAAACTTTATTAGGTAAAAAGTGTGTCCCTTAGGTGCCAAAGCTGCAAAAATACAATCTTAAAAAGTCAAAGGTGAGAGCTAAATGGAGGAAGTTTCAGACCCCAGCCCTACATTCTCTGTTGTTATTCACATATATTAGAACTGATTAAAAAGGAGAAAGTGGAATGAAACTGTGTCTGTTTTCTTTTTATCATGAAAAACAAGTAAACAAAGAACTTTAGGTGATGATCAAGCTCCAATAGAACAACGAAGAAAAGAACTGACGTACAAAACGAGCCAAGGAAGAAGAAGTGGGTCTGACTTCATCTGAGTGTCTTCAACTCATATGATAGCAAACATTGCATCGAGTACTATCAAATAAAACTTGGGTTGTTTTTGTTAGAATTAAAAATTCAACATTTTTATAACCTTTTTTCTCAAAACGCAAAGAATAAAGTTTTCCGTTGCTTCTTTCTTGGTGTGGTGCCTAAAGAGTCTCGATCAATAGTTGTGCCAGCTTTTTCCTCTGAAATGTATTTTGGTCTCAATATGTTTATTTATTTATTTTTTCTATTTTAATTTTGACTTTATTGTGCAGTTTGTGTTTAAAATGTGAAAGGTGGACAAGTACAACTATATACAACAGATGACATGAGTGTGTTGTATTTATTAAACATAAAGATGCATCGTCATTTAGCTACCCGTAATCGCCCACTGTGTGGAAAGTTTTGATCCAATTGCTTAACTTGTTGGAGCTAGATTTACTTCTTCTGTCAAACTCTTATATTTACTGTTTCATAGAGTCAGATAACAAACAAATTATGTTTTCTAATGAAAAACAATACATGACCCTGAGAAAGTCCTGAGAACAATTGATCAAAACCAACTGGAAAGGTTACAGAAAAGCCTGGTGCCTTGAGACTTCTGCAGAAAAAAATGACTGAAATTGAATCGAAAATGAAAACAATTTCTTGTCGAGCTAAGACCCGAATCACATTTTATTATTCTCCATGACTTTCAAGAATATCTTCACAAAGAACTCTGTTGTAAATATCAACAGATGGTAGTTTTGTTCCTATAGTATTAGAGTGTGTCCTGTTACCGGCTCTGTTCTCATGACTCCAGTTGTCTAGAGAACACTGAATGAGGAGAAGGTGAAGAAGTCAGCTCTGTGCTCTAGGTGATACCAGAGGTGGGTAGTAACGCGTTATATTTACTCCGTTACATTTACTTGAGTAAGTTTTTGAAAAAAAAAATCTACTCCATAATTATTGTATCTGCATCATACTTTTTACTTTTACTTGAGTATATTTTGGAAGAAGGAACGCTACTTTTATTCTGCTATATTCGGCTAAATTTGATTCGTCACTTAAAAAAAAGTTTCACACAATAAATAACAACAGATCACTCCGCGAGTGGATCTACCTGTAAATCTTTCACCAATCAGATGGTTGCCACGCAGTCACATGACCACCAGGTGTAAACATTGCAGTAGGGGAGCTCGTATCACAGACACGGGAAAAAGAAACGCATGAAAATGGCTCAAGCCACCGTCCTCGATGCTAAAACCGGCGATCACCCCTGGCCTCATATTCAAAGTATGTTTCACTTCAAAGAAGCACAAAGGAACGGGTATATAACGTGGTGTCTTCTGTGTGCGCCAAAACAAACGGAGATACCAGCCTACAAGGACTCAACATTGAACCTATAGTTGACAGAAGTTGTATTGCTCGTTACCATCATCATGTGAATCCACCCTTAAAGGACTTAAGACTGATAAATGGGACTACTTAAAATAGTTTGACAGGCTTATTTTGTAATCACTTGCAAATTTCACTCAGACGATTCAGAGTCATTTAAATGTTGTATAACTGGCTGTGGCTCATTTCTTTGTTTTTTATATCTTTTTTAGGTTCAGTCCTGCTGAAATGGCATTTTTGGCTGAGTACACTGCTGTGATGAAGCCTATTGCCATGGCCCTCAACATCCTCCAAGGGGAATCATCTGTACACATGGGCTTCTTTCTGCTGACCTTTTACCATTTGCTGGAGAAGCTGAGGACGCTGAAGTCAACTTCCAAAATGTGTAGACCTCTTGTTGATGCCCTGCGGAACGGGATCCACAAACGATTTGGAGAAGTCATGAAAGACCCAGAGCTGATTGCAGCTGCAATACTTCTGCCATACCATACCATACCAAATTTATTTATAAAGCACATTTAAAAACAGCATGGCAGCCGACCAAAGTGCTGTACAGAATAAAACGTAAAAACACAATATAAAAACAAAACACGACCAACAATAGAATACACAACAAAGCAGATAATCGCGGTCAATAAAAAAACCTAGTAAAATAATAAAGTCAGGGATTTAAAAATGCCTGGTCATAAAAGTGAGCCTTAAGTCGCGACTTGAACCGGAGGAGGGATGGTGCCAGCCTCACTGAAAGAGGAAGAGCATTCCAGAGTGTCGGAGCAGCACAGACAAAAGCACGCCGCCCCCGCGTTTTGTATTTCATTGTTGCAACGCGAAGCAGCAGGCAATCAGGAGACCTCAATGCCCGGTTTGGCACATAACGAGTGACAAGATCAGACAGGTAATCCGGAGCCAGACCATTCAGGGCCTTAAAAACAAAAATCAGGATTTTTAACTGAAGTTTACGGGTAGCCAGTGAAGCTGCACCAGTACAGGTGTGATATGGTCTCTTCTAGGGGTGTTTGTTAAAAACCTGGCTGCCGCGTTTTGTACGACCTGAAGCCTGAGCGGAGGCAGGTTAACCAATTAAAATGGAATTTGCGTGATCTAGACGGGAGATGATAGAAGCATGAATTACAGATTCTAGGTGCGCTCGTTTCAGGATCAGTTTTAAGTGACGTAATCTGCGCAGCTGGTAAAAACACGATCTGACCACTGCGTTAATCTGAGGGCCCATGGAAAAGTGGGTATCCAGTTTCACCCCCAGGTTGGTAACACCCTGCTTGAGGTAATATGGGAGAGCGTCCAAATCAGAAGATAAGTGTGTGGTTTTGTTAGGGGTCATCAGGAGTGCCTCCGACTTAGAATCATTCAGCTTCAGGAAATTGTTGGCAAGCCAAACCCTCACTTCAGCCAAACATTGGTCCAGAAGAGAGAGGGAACCTGGCCTGTTCAAAGCCAGGTAGATCTGGCAATCATCTGCATAGATATGATAGCCCAGGCCATATTTCCTCAGGATGGAACCCAGGGGGAGGATGTAAATTGAAAACAGGAGAGGCCCAAGCACAGACCCCTGCGGGACTCCACATGGTAGTGGAAGGCATGTAGAGGAACAGTTACCCAACTGAACCTTGAAAACTCTGTTTGACAGGTATGAGCAAAACCACTGAAGTGAGGTACCCCTAAGCCCTATCCATGACTCAAGTCTATCCAGCAAAATATCATGGTCAATGGTATCAAATGCTGCAGAAAGATCTAATAGAAGGAGCAAAACAGGAGACCCAGAGTCAGAAGCCACCAGGATGTCATTGGTCATGCAAAGAAGGGCTGATTCAGTACTGTGAAGTGGCTTAAACCCAGACTGGAACACATCAACCAGAGAAAAGCAATTCATGTGCTGTAATCTGTGAATAGACAATTTTTTCAAGGACCTTAGACAATAACGGTAATTTGGAGTTTGGCCGGAAGTTTGCAAGGTTTGAGTGGTCTAAACCAGGTTTTGTTTTAATTGGTTGCACAACCGCCTTTTAAAAAAAGTAGGAAACACCCCAGTGGCCAAGCTAGAGTTAAAAATGTCTAAGATGGTGGGGCCCAAAATGGGGAAATCACCCACCATCCTCGGGGGGAGAGGGTCCTCAGGAAAACCTGCTGGTTTCATATTTCCAATCAGATCTGCCAATTCACTAAGAGATATAGGAGCAAAGTTAGAGAATGAGGGAGGTTCTGGTGGTACATCAGGATAGCCAGATCCTGGTTGCACAAGACTATCCCTAATGTCCCAGACTTTGTGAAGAAAGAAGGTCTGGAGCTCAGCACACAATGACACAGAGGGATCAACACAACCAGGTTCAATTATCGACAAGATGGAGTTGACAGTGCTATAAACTTTATGCTGATCACCCTGGTGTTGAGAGATTATGCATGCGAAGTATTTGTTCCTGGCCGAGATTGCCAAGATTCAGAACATCCTGGACCACCGATGAGAGCATCTTAAAAGCTGGTAAATACTTGTCATGCATTGAATTGTGAGCCAGAAAATTCTGACTCTGTTGGTGTGATTTAGGATTATAATGTATTATAGAAAACCAAAGGGTGATAAATTAGTATGAAAAAACATCTCAAGAGTTTTACATTTTCATGCCATCAGCAGCTTGGCAGTCTTATGCACATATTTTAAACTTTTCCTTTCCACAGGTCTCACCTTCATCAGATACCACATAGACTTGAAGATGGATGAGGCCTGCATGGACTGCAGCATCTCTGATGAGGAGGACTTCTTTGGATCCATGAAGTCAGGAAAGCCAGAAGCTGGAGAGCTGGAGAGGTACCTTTCATATCCATCCACTGGAGGTATGGATCTATTGGTTGGCTTTCCTCACATCAAGAATCTGGCAATCAAAGTCAATACAGCTGTCCCTGCATCTGCAGCGTGTGAGAGACTTTTCAGTCAAGCGGGACTCCTGCTAACTGCTTAATGGTCACGTCTTCACAGCCAGAACCTTGAGAGCCAACTGCTGCTGAAGTTTCACCAGGGCTTCACTGAGTGAAGGCTTGACATTTGAATGGCTTTTGCCCTATTTTGATATATATATTGTGTGTGTGCTGTGTGAGTAAAATAAATCAGACGTTACAACCAGTACTTGTACTCAATACTCAGTGAGTATTCTTTTCACCAACTACTTTTTTACTCTTACTTGAGTAATTTCTTGGATGACTACTTTTCACTTTTACTTGAGTAGTATTATTTTAAAGTACTGCATTTCTTACTTGAGTACAATTTTTGGCTACTCTACCTGACTCTGGGTAATACATAGCCTAGTTAACTAGACCAAATTCTTGCTTTACAAAATTTTTAAATCATATATTTATTTAGTCTAGCTTGCCAGGCTAGGTGGTGTACTAAAATTACACTACGCTACTACCTTGTTAACTAGGAACTTTATTTTGAAAACCACTGCTAACGACCTCCGGTGGGAACGTAATTTCCGGCACAATAACGGAAGCTTGTACATTTCTCGTGAGGACAAACTAGCAAGCTTGTAAGTTGATAATTAATTTTTATTAATGGAAAGAGTGAGTAATAATTCGTTTTTGTTGACGTTAGAAAATCTCACGTACAATGAAAATATGTCAAAGTAGTTCTAACGCTACGGTAACGTGATGGCTGACATGCTAGCGTGTACACGACAAGCTAACGAAGGTAGCACTTTTAAAGGGGAAACCTCAAGTAAATAATTATAAAATCAAAGTTTCTCAATTTTGTCAACTAGCTTAGTTTCTGATTTGTAGGTTATTGCTTGATCTGACTATGCTATCACTCTTTAGCGCGGACGTTAACTGGTTTGGTGCAACTGCTGTTCTACAGGAGGATGAGCAGCTCAGAGGAGGTGTCATGGATCTCCTGGTTCTGTGGACTCAGAGGAAATGAATACTTCTGTGAGGTACGTTACTGTTTTCTCATGAGAGAAATTACCGTATTTGTGGTTCATAAGCTGAGAAACACACGGGCACATACATAATAGCACTGATCTGACAGAAAGAAGCAAAACGAAACGCAGAGATTCACTGATGAAAAGCAGTCATGATCTTCATAGCCGATAGTATCAAGTTTATCTGGTTTGTTGGGTACTAAACCCTTTTGGATGAGCATTGTGCTATGGAGCTCTGCCATCCACTTGTTTCTTCTAGTTTATTTTCTGGCTTATTAAAAATACTTGAACATAAAAATGTTTTAAAACATATTTTTATCTGGAAGACTGCTTTCTGGCTAAAGGATGAAATGTTAAAGACTCGGGGATGGGGTCCTGACTCCTAAGCTGCCGGGAAGAAGGCAGGAACAAGCGGCAGTTCATGGTCCAGGCTCAGGGGTCTCAGGTGGACCTTGGCGCCTCTGAAATAACAACAACTCTGTCCCATCACGGGGAGGACCCAACCTTACCTGGATGTCTCATGTCTTACATATTCTGGAAGTTGTGCAAATGCAGGGATGGGAGTAGATATCTGGCTGGGGTGGGGCTGGGTTGAAGCCGTCTGAAGCTCCATTCTGATCTGGCTTCTGGTGCAGCAGGGCTTTTCCTCCTGAGCACGACTTAGAGAGACCACTGTGAGTGTGTTGATTAAATGAGTGAACCACACCTTTAATGTCCCTCTCTGTGCTTTTACATCACCGTGTTGTAGCATTGTGCTGCTGTGGCAACAGTAATTATTGCCATTAACTACATTTAATTATGAATTTGTTTCTGTGTTGCAGGTGGATGAAGACTACATACAGGACAAGTTTAACCTGACCGGTCTGAATGAGCAGGTGCCTCACTATCGCCAGGCTTTGGATATGATCCTCGACCTGGAACCAGGTGAGGCTGTTGAAGTGGACATTCTCATGAAGGGAGGCGAGTTGGAGATGGTTAATTTAATTGTCTTAATCATTTATTACAGATGAAGAGCTTGAAGATAACCAGAACCAGAGCGATTTGATTGAGCAGGCTGCAGAGATGCTTTACGGTCTTATACACGCACGCTACATCCTCACAAACAGAGGCATTGCACAGATGGTATGCAGGCTAACAGTCTCACATGTTATACCCATACATCAGAAGAACTGACCTCTGAATTTCTTTAACAGTTGGAAAAATATCAGCAGGGAGATTTTGGTTATTGCCCCAGAGTTTATTGTGAAAATCAGCCGATGCTTCCTATTGGTAAGGAACGGTTTTCAAGCAGCACATTTTCCGGCCCTTCCTCACTGTAACAGAATAAAATGAATCTTTTCTGCTGCTGACTCATGTAGGCCTGTCAGACATCCCTGGGGAAGCCATGGTGAAGCTTTATTGCCCTAAGTGTATGGATGTTTACACCCCCAAGTCCTCCAGACACCACCACACAGATGGAGCCTACTTCGGCACGGGGTTCCCTCACATGCTGTTCATGGTTCACCCCGAGTATCGGTCGAAGCGACCAGCCAACCAGTTTGTGCCAAGGTTGGTTCGGATGGTATTCCTCCTACTTCTCGAGTGCTTTGGGTCTAGTTCTGGCTGGCTGTAGAAGACGATTCCTCGTTTAAGGCGACGGGTTGGGTTAGTCGGTATTCCAGCTGCAGGAGATGGAAGTCAGAATGATCTCAGTGTGAAAAATGAGAGAAAAGTTTTATGAAGATCTTAAACTAACTGCTGTTCATATGCAGTCCAACAAAAGTATTTTCTAACAGCTATTAAATATTTAAGGAGTTTGAGGACGTCCTTTAACGGCTCCTTCTCTGGCGAGTGGCTAACTTGACTCGTTTCCCAGATTATTCTAACGGAGATCCTTCTGACTGCTTTCTACTGCAGGTGAAGTCTTCTCATTCATTCACGGTTTGCTTTGGACTGAAACCTAGCTAGCCCTCTGGAACAAGTTCAATCATTAGAAAAGTTTCCATCACAGAAAAGCACTTTTCTTTGTACTGAGAATCATGTTTGTTCTTTTTCAGGCTCTATGGTTTCAAAATTCACCCGATGGCTTACCAACTCCAGCTTCAGGCCGCATCAACCTTCAAAAGCCCGGTCAAGACGATTCGCTAAAACTCTACTTTGAGAAGACTGCACACTCATGGACCTTGTTTACAGCAGCACACTATATATCCCCAGTAAATGTTTGTACAGCTGCCCAGACCCACCTGTGCTGATACTTTTGGAACTAGAATTCAGGTCCCAGTTGTCAAAGTTGCTCTTTCTTCTTGTGGAACTCCCAACTTTTCTTTCTGAGAAGATGTCGGTGCATTTTTTTTATTTTATTTTGATGAATGGTACAAAAATAAATTCTTCCAGCTGCAGCATGGTTTCCGGACAATTTCCCTGATCAGTGACTGAGACTTTAAACGTTGATCGTTGATTGATACCATAGGTGCACAAAAACTAGTGCCAGCAGAACGCTCTTTAATCATTGATTTTAGAAAGCTACAAATTAGTGCTACATCAAAGTACTTTAAGTGTACTAGATGACTAAACCTGCACAAGCATCGTTATGCCCTGTTAATTCACTGAAGTCTGAACTTTTAAAGACGAGGGCCAAAGTAATCGCAGGCCACAAACAATAAATGACCATTTTTTTATTTGTGTTCCTCTGAATAGGTCCAAAATAAACAAATGAGTAAAAATCTGAACATAAAACTGTTAGAACTACATCATTACATTAGCCTAGAAATCGGGACCAACCATAGCAAAAAGAATTTGCTCTGCAGGTCGGTCTAGTCACGCACCACTAACCTCAGCAGGTCTGCCGTTGGCCCCAACAGTTTTGCGTTTGGCCAATCCCGGCGCTCTACGTTAATTTGGAGGACTGAACACGAGCTGTGTGGAGAAAAGCAACAAAGATGGTGTCGGCTCAAGAACGGCGCTCGTTTGAAACGGCTTTTGCTTAAAACGTAGGATGATTTAGACTTGAGCAAGTTAAAGTGTTGTGGGATAAATCTACCTAAAGTCCACCATCACAATTCACTCAGAAATACATGATGCACAGACAGTCCAACAAAAAGCAAATTAATGCATATCTTTTATTTTTTCATAAAAAGATGAGGATAATGCACAATGCAACAAAAGTTTATTTGTCTAAAAACTACTTATCCATCCTGGAGAAAAGTTTGTGGATTTTGTCCATGAAGCTACAAACGAGTATGGGTTTTAAGGAGAAAATCAAAAACATTCTAAAAACTGATCTAAAAGATTCTTCATACTTTCCTCTACAGAAAACACGGCGAGTGAGAGCGAGCTACGCGGACGAAGAACGCTTTACAAACGTGGTTGATAATAAACATTGGACGTGTCTAGCTGAAGCGCTGCAGCTCGTGTTAAAACACCACAGTACATTAAAATCACACACGGGTCTGACTTTACAAATAATTTACTGTGTAGCACAACGACAAGTATTACACGTCACACAAAACTGCTCCAGTGAGGAAAAAGCCACATTTACTCGAGCCTCCATCTCTTCCACACGTGGTTAATGTGACGATTTATTGACCTCACCTGACTGAACATGGATACAACTGAAATGTGTTTAAACCTCATATAATCACACGGAGGTCTGTAGTTTTACACAAACAAACATCAAAACCTGAGATTAGCAGACCAAAACTAGCTCAACTTCAACCAAAACCTGTTAGAAGTCCTCTACACTGTAAGAACTGAACAGTTGAATTTACTTGACCAGCTGGTTTCAAACCTGGCTGCTTAAATGTAAAGAGTTCATTAACTTTTAACATAACAAACACTCAATAATGTATACTATCACTCTTTACACTTAAGCCACCACCTTTAGTAAAACTATGTAAATTCAACATTTCCTTTCTCAGCGTGGATGATGGTGAACAGACGGACGTGAGGGCAGCACTCGTCTATAAAGAGTGAGAAGTGTGAGAAACTTGGTGGACTACACGAGGAAACGAGTAAGAATGATTCAGGGTTTCAGGCAAACCGGATCATTAAAGAGATCCGTCAAAATTCAGCAAACATTTCATTGAGATATGAACAACTTAAAAACCTTGATTATTTTTTACAAATACTATAAAAGCATACTTTTATAAAATAGAGAACTATTTCAAAATAGATCAATTTTCCTTTCAAACTTTACAAGAATGTTTAGGCTGCTGGTTCCTTGAGCAACCATTTAGGATTAGATTATTTTTGTACCTGAGCAGTAAACAAACCCTAAGAAAACTTTCCAAATTTAAACACAATATCTTTGTATTAATGCGAGGTATGTCTCTTCATTTTTAAGTCTTTCCTGAATTGAATAAATACGTAAATAACAGAGTTTACGTGAATGTCTTAACGTTTCCCTAGTAGCACCAAGGGAATAAAAGCTAATAATAGTTCCTGAACTAAATATTTTAAGTAAATCAACGAGTAAAAACCACTAAGAAAATAAAAGCATTTTAAAGCAAATGTCACTCAAATGAAAAAAGGCTGGTTTTTAAACCAAAAACGTGTCGGCGCGAAAAACACCAGGATGAAATTGGATCAGTGACGTGCAGCCCTACCAACTAGCAGCCACAACTGAAACAACGAGAATCTATGGAGTCATTTTAGGGGCAAATTTCTGAGATCTTGTGCGCAGGTAGAAGTGGTCCCTGTGTGTCGATCGCTGTGGTCTAAGGAGGATGTGACGAGTCCGAGAAACAAGGGAGGACTGCGTTACAATGCTGATGCTCCACCGTGCTTCTCCTGCAAAACACACACACACACGTTTTAATGTGAGAGGCTAAATCTTCTAGATAAAGCTGCAATGGCAAATGTGGAAAGCAAATTAACTTAAAAAAATTTCATGCCTCTTAATAAAGTTCACATTAAAGCTATAAAGATATTGTGTAGATAAATATATATATATTAAAGTTTTTCTCTCGTATTTGTCTAAAAATGGTCTCCGCCAATAACGTGTTTCCGACTGAAGGCAACCGTTGGACTATCCATTTGTTGGTCTCACCAAACCGCCACATCTGTGCACCTCCCTGCATCCTCCACTCATTACACTCGCGTCAGTCACATATTTAGCAACAGAACTCCTCTGGGGTGAGAAGTTCTCCGCTCACTAGTATCAGAGAAGGAGAAATAGCCGGCTGCTACTTTAGGACAAACTACCAGAGTCCCAAACGAAAAACACCATTTGAAGTCAACATAGGGCGTTTAAACCTAGAAAATGGCGACTGGTGTTTAGCGCTCTCCCGTTTCCTCCGGCAATGTGGGTTTCCATTTCCTGTGGACGCGAGGGGAGGGCTAAGCGTTCGTGACCTAGCTTGTAAGCAGATTTGCTATGGCAGCTTTAAAAGTCCTCGCAAGCCATTAAATGTGATTATTTTCATTTAATGGTGATTTCTTTATTTGCACTCCTAAAATTGGCCTATAAATGAGAACATTAATAAGAATCTTATCAAGTGTGTCCATCTCCAACAGACTGCTGAGAGACCATCCCTAAAGTGCAATCGGGGCCACACTCTGAGGGCCACAAATGGCCCGAGCCGCACTTTGGACATGCCTGGTCTAGAACTATGAATCCGTACCGTATCTTGGTCAACGTCAGAGTCTGCAGTTATGACGATTCTCTTCTCCACACGAGTCTCGGTGGATCCAGTTTTCACGATCTGCACAGAAACAAAATCTTAGACTCAAAACAAAACAAACCGGGGAAACTCTGGGAACTCCACCCACACTGCTGACCTTTGAGATCTGGGTGGTGGTGACGGTGGTGCCGCTGGTTGATTCGGAGGTAATGGACTTAGAACTGGACAGCACTGAGCTATCTTTGTCCTCGTCTGTTCCTTCATCGGTCACCTGAGACAAACAGAAAGAAAGGACAGTGATTACTTCTTAAAATAAATGTGAGTCTGGCCTTCTCGTGGAGAAGAAGTGGAGCCCCTCAGAACAGCTTCAGGTCAGATCATCAACTCGTGACAGCCAACCTGACCTCCAGTAGGAAGGACAAATCTGGGTGGAGCCTGTGCTGGAGCCCCTACCTTAGAAGACTCATAGGTGAAGGTCTTGGTTGGGATGATAGGGACCTCTGTGGTGGAGATGTCGCTGGACAGGGAGTTGGAAACAGCTGTGATGGTGACAGTCTGGGTCTGCACCAGAGGGGGCTGTGAATGGGAGCATAGTCCCATGAGCGGCTGTTCAACCTCACAGCAAATACCTTCTCTCACTCCATGCATTCTCCCAATGATTTCCACCACCAGCCCAGATTAGTTTGGATTATTTTCAGCACATAACCGCATTCCATCCTTTCTCGATGGCAAGCATTAGAAAAGAAACCGGAAGTCACAAATTAGGCTCCTTTTGGTGTGTTACTGCTACAGGAACCCGTCACCCACACCACTGTGCAACACCTCTGCAGCATACTCAGCTCAACTGGGAAAGGATTCTCAGCTCATTCCCAGGAATTCACCAGGATAGGTTTACAGATTTTCATGCGTATTTATCATGCAAAGGAGTGAGCAAGTGTAACATCTGATGCCCGAGCAGAGAAAGAAAGAGCGTCCTCCTCCCCACCCCGAGTGGGGTTCAGGAGACTACCTGGAAGCAGCGTATGACCTGTGGACCATTGCTCCGGAAATACGAAGCCGGCGAAGATCCGACTATTCTGCCAGAGTGCTCCGATGCTCCAGGACACAACGCTTCCTCCTCCTGGATTTCATCTAAAGCTTTGCAGAAGGATTCGAAGGAAGGAACGAGTTGGGCCACCTCTACGACTGGCACAGAGAGCGTCTCAAACACTACAACCTCCTCATGACTGCGCGACTCCTCCTCTGCCTCCTCGGGTGCGCTGAGAGCTTCAACGCTTTCAGGCTCACTCTCGTGGCTCACGGTGGGACTGGGCGGGTCTGAAAAACCCAGATTACTGCTGGTTCCCTCGTGAGAAGCTTTAGTCTCTGAACTTTTGCAAAGCGGACTAATGCACACACTCTAAAAGAAAGACAAACACAGTCACCGTGTGGTCACGAGCAGGCACAACAGTCTGAACACCTGACAGCATGAACTGTAAAAATGGTGGCATGCCGTTCAAAGAGTTCTCATGACCAATGAGATGACAACAATGAAGAATGGTTTTGTATGTAATCAGGTACAGCTTCAGTGTGTGTGTGTGTGTGTGTGTGTGTGTGTGTGTGTGTGTGTGTGTGTGTGTGTGTGCGTGCGTGCGTGCGTGCGTGCGTGCGTGCGTGCGTGCGTGTGTGTGTCTGCTCTTTCTTCTCAAATCCTCAGTGAGTTGCAGCAGATGCCAGGGGGCTTGGAGGTTTCTTCCTGTTAAAGGGGAGTTTTCCTCCCAACTGTCACTACATGCTTGCTTGCAGGGTATCTACAGGTTTAAGGGAGCCAAATTTGACTTTTTAATACCTTTTCATGGCCACTTTGATCAAATTTAAGCTATTTTTAAAATTTAATTCAAGCAATATTTTCCAGCTATTGCCTGGAACCGGTGCTAACCATGTCGTGAACGTGGGATTAGCCATCCAGTTACCATTAAACTTGCACTTCCCCATGGCGCAAGCTCCCACTAGCTTAACCAGCTAATGTGCTCATCTACAAATAGCCCCCTTTCACAACCAACTGAATGTGTACGGTTCCGCTTACGTCAACATCGTACACAAAAAATGCTGAACACTAACTAGAAATTCATGAAAATTTTATAGAAATAAAAAAAAATTTGTTTATTGGGTCTTTGGTAATTTAAGACCTTTGGAAACTGTTTTTAAGGATTATTTGTCATTTTTAAGGATTTTTAAGGCCTTAAATTTGGAAAAGCTAATTTGAGACTTTTTAAGGACCCGCGGATACCCTGTTGCTTAGTGTGGGGACTGCTGTAAAGTCACTGACACAACAAGTCAGTGACTCGATGCAATCTGCTGGGATTCTTTACAGGAAACTTAACTAATTGGCAAATGAGCTGACCTCAATGCACTGATAATTTACTTTGTGAAGGGACTTGAGACGACACCTGCTGCCATTTTCATCTATATAAATAAACTGAACTGAAATGAAAACACACGTCTGTAGGTGTCCTGACCAGGAGAAAGGTGAACATGGATTGTGTTAGTAATGATGATTATGGGTCATTCAGTACCAACTCAGCTAAAGCCCTTCACCCTAATATAAAAATTCCTATCTCACTCTACGCGGGTGGTCTCATCCTTCAAGCTCGGGTCCTCTACCAGAGGCTTGCGTGCTTGAGGGTTCTGTGCAGCATCTTAGCTCTGCATCTCATCCACGTGCAGCACCCTGAGACTGTACACTCGCCGTAAGGAGGGAGGCCGAGGACTAGTGAGTGTGAGAGCCACTGTCCAGGATGAAACCTCCAAGATCCATAAGTACATCAAGGACAAGGCCCCAACAGATGACGTGCTCAGTGAATGTCTCAGACAATGGTGAATAGAGGAGGAGATGCTGGAAATACCATCATGGGAGGACTAGCCCCTACATGGGATGTCCCACAGACAGATAACTGAAGCGGCTGATATCTAGAAATCCTACCAATGGTTAGAAAGAGCTGGTCTGAAGGACAGCACAGAGGCACTCTTCATGGCTGCACAGGAACAGGCCCTGAACACCAGAGCAACAGAGGTCAACATCTGTAGGCCCCTGAGACAATCCACTAGAACTGCAGGGTGTAAGATGCTGGCAGGGAAAACATACATGGAACGCCACAACCAAGTGGCTGGCATCGTGTAGAAACATCTGTGCAGAGTACGGACTGGAAGCCCCAAGGTCAAAGTGGGTAACTCCCCCTCAGGTGGTTGAGAACAAGAGAGCCAAGCTCCGGTGGGACGTTCAGCTCCAGACTGACAAAATGGTGATGGAGAACCAACTGGACATTGTGGTGGTCGACAAACAACAGAGGACAGCCATTGTGGTTGGTCAGATCCCGGGAAAAACATCAGACATCTAGAAACAGCTGGGATACCGCACAGATCCCTCAAGCTCCCAGGAGACCACCGCGGAGGGTGAGAAGGGAATTTACGTGTGAGTGAGTGTGTGTGTGTGTGTGTGTGTGTGTGTGTGTGTGTGTGTGTGTGTGTGTGTGTGTGTGTGTGTGTGTGTGTGTGTGTGTGTGTGTGTGTGTGTGTGTGTGTGAGAACTGTACCAGTGCAGTTTAAATAATTAGAAACAAGGTTTTGATTAAATATTATAAACAACATATTTAATGTGGATAGGTCACTAAACAACCTCAGTTTCTCAAAAGTTTAATTTTGACTTGATTGATGAGCTAACGGCTAGTCTGAACTAAGCCATACTGACTTGAAACGACGTCAGTCTTAATTGCTGTTGTATAAACAGCTGCTTCAGACATTTTCCCCTCTAGGTGCACTAATCATGCGCTCTTGGCTTGGAGCAGTTAAACAGGAACCAAAGCTAGAGCAGGGCTAGCTTTATTATCTTGCACACAGAATATATTGTTACATAATTTAATGATTATTTGCTAGTGCTGCTAATAGCAGCAGCAGCTAGTTGTAGCGCTTCGGTCTGTGGAGAACTTTTTTTCTGCCGGAACAACTGATGGTTCATTTAAAAGTTCGTAATGGAGAATTTGAGTGAACTGATGTGAAATATTGACATTGCAGTAAGTTTTGAGACATTAGAAATCCACTTTGGTTTTGACCCTGTTCAGACTAGCCATTAGCACGTCAGTCCGGTCAGAACAGAATAAACTGTTCACAGTTTTACCAATTTATCTGAATGATCCTTTTTAATTACTACATAAAAATAACTTCATAGCTTCCATTCCTAAAATCTACCAGGAGGCTTAGCTGGGCTGAATGTTTCAGAGCAGCTCAGGCAATAAAAATGAAAAAGCAGAGAGCACACATGAGCTCGTACAGCCATGCACTCAAACACCACATTAAACTACTGAAGTATGAGTAACAAAATGAAGAAAAACATCACTTAACCAACATATGGAATGTCTTTTATTTACTTTTGGTTTAAACTGATTGTCAAAGAGTCATGCAACAAGACATTTCCTGCAGATGCCACAGATTTCCTCTCCTGAAACTAGTGAAGGGTTAAAAGTATCACAACTGAGCTGCCTGAAGGTTTCTCATCGAGTTAAAATCTTTACCGTGACAAATGCTACCAACAAATCTCCCAGAAACAACAAGACTGCTTATTTGTAGCGTGTGCTTTTTGTATTTTCAGGATAAAAAAGTCACAGTGATCAGTCAAGACTGGTGACAGTTAGATGTACCCAACAGGTGATGTGGTCCCATAGCAGAAACACTAAATCCATCACAGAGAATGTTCAAACATGATGTTCAGTCCTGATCTAGACATGAAAAATGGTTCTGAGAAACCAGAAGGAATGTTCAGTAGTGAGCAACAAAGAACCAGAGTCTTGTTCAAAAGAAGAAAGCAGGGGGGGCAGCTTCTGGAGTGGAGCAGAGGATGGAGGATGAAGAATGCTGGAGCGGAGTTGCAGAGGAGGCAAAAGCAGGAGGGAGCAGAAAAGAAAGCTAGAGGATGAAGGGTAGATGGGCTAGGTGGGCGCGCTCTCTGTGGGTCACATTCACACCTGTGTGGGGTTTCCGCGGCGTTGAGACGGCCCCTCAGCTGCGTTTGGAGTAGAAGTCTAGCAGGGGGCCGCGTGGGAGGCGGATGACAAACTGAGAGGAGGGGGAGGAGGAGGTGGAGGAGATATGAGAGGAAGAAATCCTAAAATGTCTGTAATGAACAATAATCAACAGCTCCGCTTTAGCTTCGCACAAGCATCCATCCACTGAAACATCAGAACTCAGTTTCTCAGAGCATGAGGGTGTTAGCATGCACTTTAACATGCTGTTTAGACTTTCCATGTCTGAAAAACTCCCTTTTGGAAAAGACAGGAAGTCATCCACACCTTTTCAGACTTCAGGATGACATGTAAGTTTGGCTCGTCAGGCTGCTGCAGCGTGATGAAGGGGAACAAAGATAAACAAATGTCCAAATGACTTTTGTTTTACTGAATGATGTGTGAGGGAATGACGTGTAAGCCAAACAGCTTGACACCTCCTAATCTGCAGCCTAAACTCAGATTTTATTGTGACCAGCTTCATGCACTGAAAGGCAAAGGTCGCTGACGGGGTTTTATCTCGGGAAGGTTTTAAAAACCTCTCCAAGCCTTCGTAGGTGCACACCTACAGCTGGCTAAATGTGGGCTAGGTCATGTCTTTATGGAGAGTTTTCCCTCATTGGTGAAATTCACCTCACTTACCGATGGCAACCAATGAATTAAAGTTAAAAAAAACTGACTTTAATTGTATCTGAAACTTACAATCCTGGAAAAACCAGACCCAATCATCGTGAAAGTCCCGTTCTTAATGACTGGATCCATCAACCTGTCCTCCGACGCTCCCTCCTCCCTCTGCACACACCCCTCTATGCGCACTAATCGTGCGCTCTCGTCAGAGCAGCCGAACAGGAAATGAAGCTAAAGCTAGGCTAGCCATATTAGCTAGCAGGCCAACGTGTTTTTGGGCTACGTAGCCTGAGCAGAAGTGGCTGAGGGGGTTTCCAGTCCTCCCTGCTGGATCTCAGATCTAGGTCCCAGGGGCTTCTGGCTAAACATTCACTGAGGGGGGAGTCTGGAGACCTCCGGACTATTAGAGGAGTCCGTCAGCATCCTGGAGGCTCCCCAGCTGTTACGGAGGCGCTTTACGTTAGCAATTATGGTGCAAAAGGTGCCGAGAGCAGGTACGATAACGTTATGTTTTCATGGTTGTTTGACAGCATCCTCCTGTATTCTGGAGGTGTGACGTGGGGTCAGAGCCAGACAAAAGCAGGGTGGACCTTTTGGACTGCGAATGATTCAAGATGGCTGCCACTGCTAGTTAGCATTGGGAATCGCACAAATGACTGAAACTCAGTCGACTTTAGAGAACCTGAGAACTAAAGGTGTGTAGTTGGTAGCTGAACATCATCTTCACACGTTCTGAGTGAAAACTGAAGGAAAATAATTTGTGATTTCCTTCGAGATTTCAAGATTTTGTAGAGACGCACCCAAATAAATCAGCCACTCATCAGCCTAACTGGTAAAGAGCCAATGTGATTATTATTATTATTAATAGACTACACGATAAGGTTGTCAGACTGTTAAACACAACAACGTGCATCTCTTCCCCTGAAGGGACGCATGTAAACAATGATTGTTTACATTAAAACTCTGCATTTGTTCTACTTCAGTTCCTCTTCTTTAACCGTCAACTACACCTGTTGTTGGTTCGTGTTAGTTCATACGTATATCCTGTCTCAATCCGTTAAAAGCTTTTAGAGAACATCTTCAGTCAAAAATACTGACCGGTGCCAACAGGACCTTACAATTACTGGCATCCATTGTTATTGGTTACCATAGCAACTGTGAATGAGGCCTTGTCTCTTCATAAAAAGCAGCAGTCAAAGAAAAGTGAAATAAAACCAACTGAGCATAAAAAACGAGGGAAAGAAAGCAGCAAAAGGCAGAACAGAAGAGAGGGAAGATGAGGAAATGCTCTGGTGGAAAAGCGTGCGAACTGTGCCAACGGTGGTCATCTTTTAGTCATGCAGCAAACGTTCCGTCACGTCTGTTAGTCATGCAGAACAAACATGTCAGGGTGCAGTGCCGATGCAGATCAGATCCAAGTGAGTTCTCAGAGCGGACAGCTCGTCCCAAAGAAACTTCACCCGCGTTCTGCAGTGGAAGAACAAAAGCACGGGACCAGCTCTACCCGGCCGTCGGCATTCCTAATGCACATGCATGTGCTGCAGACCACATGCCTTCAGTAGGACATGCACACACCACGCTCCGGCCCACTTCTATCCACAATAGATCAGTCACAGGCAGCGATCCCTTATCAAAGTCAAGCTACAGTTTGACTGAATCAGTTCAGGAACAGGAATTAGTTTCATTCTACTTGGTAATCTTCCATCTCCTGAACTGACTTGATCTGAATCCAAACGTGTGAAGGAGTCTTACCCCATCTGCACTGGGCAGAGGCTGACCGTTGATCCCCAGAGTACGGAACGGAGAGTGTGTGGACAGACGCTTGTCCCACTCGCTCGGCCGGGACTCGGGGACAGCCTCCATGAAGTTCCTCTTCAGCTGGCTGATGCTGGCGTGGTGACTGATGAGCTCCTCCTGGGGCTTATCGAACTCCTGCAGGAAGGAAAGACAAGAGGGGCGAGGTAATGTGTGTGTGTGTGTGGGGGGGGGGGATGCAGGAAAAAAATGATGAACAAAATAAAGGAAGAGTAGAAGAGAGGAAGATTTAAAACAAATGAAGACAAAGAAGGTTGTTTTAATGTTGTTGCAGTTTACGTTTGTTGCTGATGACTTAAAGAAGCTGAAGCAGAGCCAACAGGTGGATGAGCTAGATAAAAGCCATCAATCTAAATGTTTGTGCTTCTTGTTGGAAGTACAAAGATCGTCAGCATCCCAGATTCAGACTCAGATTAATTCTGCCAGCTGGTTTATTTGGAGCAAAAGGCAGAAACAGGAAAAATAAATAAAACACAGCAGTCATGATTTCACTTCACAGCATAACGATGACAGCGAAACAGGGTGCAAATCAAAGGACAGGAGGTGGTGACCGCAGATGAAGCATCGCTTTGAAAAGAAACGTGTTGGTCTGGGACCAACGGACAGCCGCGACAGAAGCAGAAGCAGAAGAAGAAGCAGAAGCAGAAGAAGCAGAAGAAGAAGAAGAAGCAGAAGAAGAAGAAGAAGCAGAAAAAGAAGAAGAAGCAGAAAAAGAAGAAGAAGCAGAAACAGAAACAGAAGAAGAAGCAGAAGAAGAAGAAAAAGAAGCAGAAAAAGAAGAAGCAGAAACAGAAACAGAAGAAGAAGAAGAAGAAGCAGAAGAAGAAGAAGCAGAAGAGGCAGAAGAAGAAGAAGCAGAAGCAGAAGAAGAAGCAGAAGAGGAAGAAGCAGAAGCAGAAGAGGCAGAAGAAGAAGAAGCAGAAAAAGCAGAAGAAGCAGAAGCAGAAGAAGAAGCAGAAACAGAAGCAGAAGAAGCAGAAGCAGAAACATAAGCAGAAGAAGCAGCAGCAGAAGAAGAAGAAGAAGCAGTAGCAGAAGAGGCAGAAGAAGCAGCAGAAGAAGAAGCAGTAGCAGAAGAGGCAGAAGAAAAAGAAGCAGAAAAAGAAGAAGAAGCAGAAGCAGAAGAAGAAGAAGAAGCAGAAACAGAAGCAGAAGAAGCAGAAGCAGAAACAGAAGAAGAAGCAGAAACAGAAGCAGAAGAAGAAGAAGCAGAAGCAGAAACAGAAGCAGAAGAAGCAGAAGAAGAAGCAGAAGCAGAAACAGAAGAAGAAGAAGCAGAAACAGAAGAAGAAGCAGAAACAGAAGCAGAAGCAGAAGAAGAAGAAGCAGAAACAGAAGAAGAAGAAGCAGAAGCAGAAACAGAAGAAGAAGCAGATGAAGAAGAAGAAGCAGAAGCAGCAGAAGAAGAAGAAGCAGAAGCAGAAGAAGAAGAAGCAGAAGCAGAAGCAGAAACAGAAGCAGAAGAAGAAGCAGAAGCAGAAGAAGAAACAGAAGTAGTAGAAGAAGCAGAAGCAGAAACAGAAGAAGAAGCAGAAACAGAAGCAGAAGCAGAAGAAGAAGAAGCAGAAGAAGAAGAAGCAGAAGCAGAAACAGAAGCAGAAGAAGAAGCAGAAGCAGAAGAAGAAACAGAAGCAGAAGAAGAAGCAGAGGTAGAAGAAGAAGCAGAAGAGGCAGAAGAAGAAGAAGCAGAAAAAGAAGAAGAAGCAGAAGCAGAAGAGGCAGAAGAAGAAGAAGCAGAAAAAGAAGAAGAAGCAGAAACAGAAACAGAAGCAGCAGCAGAAGAAGAAGAAGCAGAAGCAGAAGAAGAAGAAGAAGCAGAAGCAGAAGAGGCAGAAGAAGAAGAAGCAGAAAAAGAAGAAGAAGCAGAAGCAGAAGAGGCAGAAGAAGAAGAAGCAGAACCAGAAACAGAAGCAGCAGCAGAAGAAGAAGAAGAAGCAGAAAAAGAAGAAGAAGCAGAAACAGAAACAGAAGCAGCAGAAGAAGAAGAAGAGGCAGAAGCAGAAGAAGAAGATGAAGCAGAAAAAGAAGAAGAAGCAGAAACAGAAGAAGCAGAAGTAGAAGAAGAAGCAGAAACAGAAACAGAAGTAGAAGAAGAAGAAGCAGAAGCAGAAGAAGAAACAGAAGCAGAAGAAGAAGCAGAAGTAGAAGAAGAGGCAGAAGAAGAAGAAGAAGCAGAAGCAGAAGAAGAAGAAGCAGAAGCAGAAGAGGCAGAAGAAGAAGAAGAAGCAGAAAAAGAAGAAGCAGAAGCAGAAGAGGCAGAAGAAGAAGCAGAAAAAGAAGAAGAAGCAGAAACAGAAACAGAAGCAGCAGCAGCAGAAGAAGAAGCAGAAGAAGCAGAAGAAGAAGATGAAGCAGAAAAAGAAGAAGAAGCAGAAAAAGAAGAAGAAGCAGAAGCAGAAGAAGAAGAAAAAGCAGAAGAAGAAGAAGAAGAAGAAGAAGAAGAAGAAGAAGAAGAAGCAGAAGCAGAAGAAGAAGAAGCAGAAACAGAAGCAGAAGAAGAAGCAGAAGCAGAAGAAGAAACAGAAGTAGAAGAAGAAGCAGAAACAGAAGAAGAAGAAGCAGAATCAGAAGAAGAAACAGAAGTAGAAGAAGAAGCAGAAGCAGAAACAGAAGAAGAAGAAGCAGAAGCAGAAACAGAAGCAGAAGCAGAAGAAGAAGCAGAAGCAGAAGAAGAAACAGAAGTAGAAGAAGAAGCAGAAGCAGAAACAGAAGAAGACGCAGAAGCAGAAACAGAAGCAGAAGCAGAAGAAGAAGAAGCAGAATCAGAAACAGAAGCAGAAGAAGAAGCAGAAGCAGAAGAAGAAACAGAAGCAGAAGAAGAAGCAGAAGTAGAAGAAGAAGCAGAAGAGGCAGAAGAAGAAGAAGCAGAAAAAGAAGAAGAAGCAGAAGAAGAAGCAGAAGCAGAAGAGGCAGAAGAAGAAGAAGCAGAAAAAGAAGAAGAAGCAGAAGCAGAAGAAGAAACAGAAGTAGAAGAAGAAGCAGAAACAGAAGAAGAAGAAGCAGAAGAAGAAGAAGCAGAAGCAGAAACAGAAGCAGAAGCAGAAGAAGAAGCAGAAGCAGAAGAAGAAACAGAAGTAGAAGAAGAAGCAGAAGCAGAAACAGAAGAAGAAGAAGCAGAAGCAGAAACAGAAGCAGAAGCAGAAGAAGAAGCTGAATCAGAAACAGAAGCAGAAGAAGAAGCAGAAGCAGAAGAAGAAACAGAAGCAGAAGTAGAAGAAGAAGCAGAAGAGGCAGAAGAAGAAGAAGCAGAAAAAGAAGAAGAAGCAGAAGAAGAAGCAGAAGCAGAAGAGGCAGAAGAAGAAGAAGCAGAAAAAGAAGAAGAAGCAGAAACAGAAACAGAAGCAGCAGCAGAAGAAGAAGAAGCAGAAGCAGAAGAGGCAGAAGAAGAAGAAGCAGAAAAAGAAGAAGAAGCAGAAGAGGCAGAAGAAGAAGAAACAGAAACAGAAGCAGCAGAAGAAGAAGAAGAAAAATAAGAAGAAGAAGCAGAAACAGAAACAGAAGCAGCAGAAGAAGAAGAAGAGGCAGAAGCAGAAGAAGAAGATGAAGCAGAAAAAGAAGAAGAAGCAGAAACAGAAGAAGCAGAAGTAGAAGAAGAAGCAGAAGCAGAAACAGAAGTAGAAGAAGAAGAAGCAGAAGCAGAAGAAGAAACAGAAGCAGAAGCAGAAGTAGAAGAAGAAGCAGAAGAGGCAGAAGAAGAAGAAGAAGCAGAAGCAGAAGAAGAAGCAGAAGCAGAAGAGGCAGAAGAAGAAGAAGCAGAAATAGAAGAAGCAGAAGCAGAAGAGGCAGAAGAAGAAGCAGAAAAAGAAGAAGAAGCAGAAACAGAAACAGAAGCAGCAGCAGAAGAAGAAGAAGCAGAAGAAGCAGAAGAAGAAGAAGAAGCAGAAGAGGAAGAAGAAGATGAAGCAGAAAAAGAAGAAGAAGCAGAAAAAAAGAAGAAGCAGAAGCAGAAGAAGAAGAAAAAGCAGAAGAAGAAGAAGAAGCATAAGAGGAAGAAGCAGAAGAAGAAGAAGAAGAAGAAGTAGAAGAAGAAGCAGAAGAAGAAGAAGAAGAAGAAGCAGCAGAAGAAGAAGAAGCAGAAGAAGAAGAAGCAGAAGAAGAAGTAGAAGCAGAAGCAGCAGAAGAAGAAGCAGAAGAAGAAGAAGAAGAAGCAGAAGAAGAAGTAGAAGAAGCAGAAGCAGCAGAAGAAGAAGCAGAAGAAGAAGAAGAAGAAAAAGCAGAAGAAGAAGTAGAAGAAGAAGAAGCAGAAGAAGAAGAAGCAGAATAAGCAGAAGAAGAAGAAGCAGAAGAAGAAGTAGAAGAAGAAGAAGCAGAAGAAGAAGGACAAGGTGAAAGTTGTTTAGCTAAACAAACTGCAGTTTGTTTAGTGTCTAAAAGCAAATTAACACCAACAGTTTCTCTAAACACACACACACACACACACACGCTGCAGAACTGGTGCTAAAGTGCATTTATGAAAACTGAAAACAAAAGCAGGAGAACACCGATGACCTGGAATAAATCCTAATCATTACTATTTCATTTGTGAAGGTGCATCTTATTCTGCTGCAGAGCCAGATAGTGATGTTTGTTTTTGTTAAAGTTCAGCAGCACTCTCCTGAATCAGCTCTCCACAAGTGTAGCCAGGTATCACCAGTGCAAAATAAACAAAAGGATTAATTCAATCATGCCGCATGCAAGCGTGAGATTAAACAGCAGCCGCGCACCAAAAAGCAAGAGACTGCAGCTCGACACTACCAGATACAAACCTCCAGCATTAACAGGCTATGTCTGATATAAATCGAGTCACCCTCAATTTTCTTTGCTCTTTTCTGTGAAGAATGAAAAAAACAACAAAAAGAATAAAAGTGTGGGTTTGTTTCCCCTTTACGCCGCCACACCTTAAACACGCATGCTATGAACTTGACAAACACGTTAGGACAACAGAGAAGAAGAGCGGTGAGGAATTCGTGCAAAAGGAGTTGGTGCAGTGTGACTGTGGGAGGGGCCAAACTGGACTAGACTAGCAAAGCAAAGAGCGAACGGCTTCGAATTGGAAGGTTTCTATTAGAGAGGAAAACACAAATCACCCGTTAGTCTATGATCATGCATGCGTGCACTTCGTAGTCTACTGAGGTAAGCACGCTGAACTTTGTGACGTTGTGCTTACGTCATCCATCAACTACGATTACATCAACTACACTTGCACACGTACATTAAAGACGACTCGTCAGTATGGGAGCACAGCCTGAGAGGAGGGTGAAATCAGTCTTTCTGAATGAGAATCGGAGTTATTATCAGAACAGACGAGGAAAACGGCTTCAGCGGCACCAAGAGTCTGACCTTTCGCATTCGTACACCCTCCATGCTCGTCTTCTCAGACTCAGACTCATGCTAGCACGGGAGGAGAGAGGAGCACGAGTTAGCATCTGCTGCAGGCTGGCGTTGTCACCGTAAACGTGTCCTCTAAAGGGACGTCATGCAGGAGTCCCAGGTCTGTCCCTACCTGAATGTCCCCATTGATGGTGGAGATGAGCGAGGACTGAACTTCTCTCTGCTCCCCCCACACTGCTGCTGGCTACAGCAGCAAGAGAGACACACGTTCACACTCAGAGACAAACCTCTGCTTACTGAGGCTCTGATGCTACAGAGGGCTCCGCTTTACAAGGGTATGCCCAGCGGGATGCTTTATGATGATTAAACTACCTTGACTCCTGACTCGACCTCGGTTTTAGATGGCTCTACAGCCTCCACGGTGACCTCCAGCTTCCTGTCCTCCTGGCGGCTGGTCTTAATGGGAGTGGAGGTCTGAGGCTGGTCCAGGAGAGCCATGGGGATCCCCGCTTCAGCCAGAGCAGCCTGGGAGAAGACTGGAGCGCTGACCGGACGCATGCCTCTCTGTGTGCTCACAGCTAGACAAAATCCAAAGGAAATGGGAATTAATCACAGCGTATGGTTTCTGCACAGGCTGTTCTCAAGGTCAGAGGTTAATACTGACAACAGAGCGTTTAAACACAACAATCAGCTGGAAAATACTTACCGTCCTCAGCCTTACCGTGATCCCATCCTGCAGGGGTACACTGTACCTTCAGCTGTTTCAAATGTGGGAATGTGAGGCAGGCAAGGAGCATCCTCAAAGCGACAAGTTTTAGTGCTCGTTACGATCCGCGGCAGCATAAGTTTGTTAGATCACACTTCACGCCAAATGATGTCAAACCAATAGATGGCAGGGATTAAGGAAGCGTTAGATGTCCTTGGACGGACGAGGTCTCCAGCTGCACGTGTTAGTTTTATGGAAAAAAACCCAAAGAGGGGAAACAAATACCTGATTCTCTGACATCAACATCGAGCAGAACAAACCAATCATCAGTGACGTGTGAGTGTGTGAGAGGAAGCCTTTCCTCCAGGATCCGCTTCGCAAACTGTGGTTTCCTTTCAGAAACATCGATCCTTGCTGGCGTTGCAGCAGCTTGAACTCTGACCTCTGCTGGGATCTGAACGTGGTCGCGGGCAGCGACTGACAGGAACGCACAACCAGAATACAGAGGAATTTCCACTTAAGATGAGATTCAAACAACAGAAAAGTTTGAATGAGCAGCTGGTCACCCTTTTTTGATGTACCTGATTTCTTATGAGGCCAGTCCAGAAGCACAAACCAGTCCTCCTCCACCTCTCTCAGTGGTGGAGGAGGTGGCCGCACCACTTCCTTCTGCCGCCACCGCTCTTCCACTATAGTTATCCTCTTCTGTGTTTTCTTCTCTGTGACCTCAAGCCGCTGCTCCGTTTTCACTCCGGGACCAAAGCGCTCTCCCACAGCCACTGGCAGAACACACACAAGGTAAAACTAGGACCAAGGCTGTCCCGGAGAGCGTCCTAAAGATCGGTCAGGATTGTGGTTCTGACTCAGCGTGGTACCTGAGACTTTAGCCGCCACGTCCAGCAGCATAAACCAATCATCATCCACTTTTCTCCACTGTTGCAGACCAACCGACGTCGCCGGTGGCCTCGTGTCTTCCATGATAATTTGGGGTCTGGGTTCTGTTATGTGGACGGCACTCTGAACCCCGGCAGCTGACACGGAGACATAATGATCAATAAACCCAAGCAAAACCACGGCACGCACACAAAAGCCTTCCAGCTACCTGGCAGCGGCGTGATCGTGGGCTTTATTGGTGTGAAATCCAGCAGAACGAACCAATCGTCCTCTCCTTCTGAGCTCAACAGCGAGGCTATTTGGTTCATTCTAATTTCAGTAAAACGAATCCCATCTTGCTTGCCTCTCGTGTCAATTATCACCTCCTCGCGCCGTCTGGTCTCGGTGGTATTCACCTCCAGCTCGGATGCCACCTTCACATCCTGAATAATCCCAACTGGAGCACAAATGAAGCGTGGATGAAGCTAAGAAACAATCCACCAGAAACAGCAAACGGGCTGCAGACGTGAAGCGGTTCTATACCTGCTGGTGACACGATCGGCTTTTCATGAACCGCCTCAAACTGAGCAGACCAGCCATCGTGTCTCTGTGGCAGTGGCTGCAACGGCGGAGGTCTAGTCTGGTCAAAGTCAGCCTGATTCGCCTTCTCGTGGGCTACTCCTGCTACAGCTGCAACACCTGCATGAGCTTTAGCCGATCGTGTCACAAAAACTGAAAAAACAAGAAGTGTGACCTGAGCTTTGACCACCGTAGAGCACATGATAAAGTTCTTTACTGTGATATTATGCAGGTGAAGGTACCTGGAGGAGACACACACGTGCCCTCTCTAGAGGCTGCATCCAGCAGCAGAAACCAGTCATCTCCTCCCTCTCCTACTGGTGGAAGGAGTCTCAGCTGTGGAAGCTGCTCCTCCTCTATCTGCATCACTACCTCTACCGCCTCTCTGCTCCGAGCCTCAGTCACAGCCTTTATACTTCCCTTGGGAGAAACATACTCAGCCACGGAAACTACGAACAGAAAAGGTCCTGTCAGACGAAATCGGGACAGACGGAGGCTTTCAAAGGAGAGAGGTTAAATCGTGAATACCTCTGGGTTCTCTAGCAGGAAACTCCAGCAACACAAACCAGTCATCTTTATCCTCCACTGGGATTAGTTTTAATTCCACCCCCACCAGAACTTCGGCCCTGTCCTCCTCCTGCACCGCAGCTTTCACTTCCACCACGGAAACCTCCTCCCTCTGATGGCGAGGAAAGCCCAAAGACGACGGTTGTCTCTGACTTTGCGGCTCCTTGCCTGTACCTGGAGGCATGACTATCGCTTCTCGAGGACGGACGTCCAGCAACATAAACCAGTCGTCATTGATCTGTGTCGCCAGCTGATGGTGGATTTCCCCCAGACGTTTCTGCGCTTCTCGATTAATTTGCCTCTCTTCGACTTCAACACTTCTTTCTTCTTGTGTGATCAGAGGAAGTCGAGAGGAAAGTCACGTCATAAACATGCTGCAAACTCTTTTTAGAAGCAAGCCAGAACAAAGTAAAGCAGAAGCTGGTTTGTAGAAGCAGCAGCTGGGGGAGTTCAGTGGTACCTGGTGGTACGTAAGCCACTTTTCTGAGAGGAACCTCCAGCAAGACGAACCAGTTGTCGATGGTTCCAGTGACGGCTGGCTGTTGTAGGATGCCAGACCCCCCGCTCAGGTCTGACCCTCCGCTTCGCCTTTCCTCCACTATAATCTGTGTTCTCCCTTCAAGCGTTGCGCTGAGGCGCTCACTCTCACCCACCTGAGCTCGTTCCACGGCATCGACTGGAGTCAAAACACAAATTATCTAAACAAGAGCAGATGTGATGAAATTGCTCTAGACAGCTAAATGAGCTGATAACTGTGATACTATACGAGTAAGGTGACTAGCAGCTGGCTGATGACTAGAACACACCTAGCTGGTTATGGTGTTAGTCTGCCTTCACACCTGATGCTGTTAGATATCAGAAGGAAGCGTGAAACACATCGGCACACGTTACCTGCTGGTTGGAAGGCAGCAACATAAGGAAGGCGGTTGAAAAGCTCAAACCAATCATCCTGATCCTCCTCCCGAGCTCCCGCCTGCCTCCACCTCTCTATCAGGGTCACCCTCTCATCCGCCACACGCACCACCTTCTGATAAACCGCCACAGAGGAGGGACCAGCGGCATCCGCAGAGCCAGACCTCTCCTGGACTTCTTCCTGCCACTCCTGCTCCATCTGCCATAGTCTCTCCCTCAAACTGTCACCTAACGGATGTTCTTCTGTCACCTCTTCCTCTTCAGGAGACAATCCCTTAAGAAACACTTTCTTTATTTCTTCCTCCAGCTCATCCTCCCCAGCCTCCACCCTCCTCACCACTACTGTGGGTTGCCGCTCCAGCTCCTCTTCTGCTCTCAGCTTTTCCACCTCCTCCTCCCCCAGCTCCCCCTCTACCATCTTCTGCAGCCTCTCTGCCATCTCGCCAACTTCCTGCAGCCTTTCCTCTAAATCTCTCACTTCCCTCAGCTTCCCCTCCAAAGCCTCCACCTCCTGCCGTGTGACTATCACAGTTACGGTTTCCTGCAGCCGCTCAATCACTTCCTGTGTGGCCACAGATGCCCCCCTCTTCTTCACGTCGAGCTGGAACTGCGCTGTGGGAGAGACTGGAGGGGAGGGATCACAAACGACACTCAGAGGACGTGGGACTTACTTGGGTGAAGGCGTGTGAAAAATAAAAGTTTTACCACAAATGAAACTCACACTTTTCAACACTTTCAGTCAGGCTGACGATTCGGTCGAAGTACACAGACCAATCGTCTCGGAGCGTCTGTGCAGGCTGCAGCTGCCAATCCAAAGAGGACGGTTGTACCACGCCGGGGTCGGCTGGCATCAGAGAAATTATTTCAACACCTTTGTACCGGTTTAGTTCAACATTCCAGCTCGGAGCAGATGGGCATCTGTGGCGATACTAGTACCTGGTTGGTCAGTAAAATCAAAAGATGGGACTTTGGGAAGAGAACGTTGTAGATACAGAAGGTCAGACCACTCCTCGCCTCTTCTCGTCTGCAGCTGTTGGTCGACCACCACCGCCTGACCCGGCTGGGTCTCGGTGCCCTGCTGGGTTACTGCGGCTGTGCGCACAGACCGTCCCTGTTCCCAGGACTGAGTAAAAGCCTGCTCTGACTCCCCTCTGGCTGTGGAGAGATGGCAGGGTGACTCAAGTTATGTAACAACCACAGCAAAAGCTTCACGGTGCTTGAAGCGGGTTTTGAACTTCAGTGGGTGGAAGCATTCCACTCCTGGACTCTTATAAGTCCAGCGAGGCAGACGAAGTTAGTGCAAGAGCAAACGTGAGGTTATGTTTATTGATATAACCCGTTTCAGAGGCGGCCGCTGCTGCAGCAGTGATGAGCAACAAAGTCAATAAAAACGTTGGAGTCGAAAGCGGAGCGGCAGCAACCTCAAGACTGGAGATGAAAGATGAAAGCATGTTGTTCTTCTCACCAGGGCCGATGAATAAAAAAGCAATGAAGCTGACGGCAATTAGTGAGCAATGATGGGTTAGAAATATGCCGAAAGGCATGGAGCAAGGCCGACACACACTTCCTGGTACCTGTGGGTTCAGGAGAAAGCAGAGGTTTATCGCGTGCGGTTATTATTGACCAATCATCTGTGTCAGACCGCGTTGATGCTGAGAGCTGCTGCAGGAACTGCAGCGTCTCTTCTCCAGCTGCAAGAGCGAAACAAGTCATCAAACTGACGCTTTGCTCTAGGAAGGGCGGGCTTCCTGACACACACTTTGAACCCACCTCCGTCCAAGTTGCGCGATAGCCTTTTGCTAGCAGAGCGTGTGAAGCGAGGTGCAGGGCGGTCGATCATGGAGCTTGCGTGTCGGGTCTGGGCCTGGGTTCGACCGCTGTAGCGGAACTTGGAGCCCAGAACGAGGAAGCGGCGAGATGTTGGGGGCTCCACTGACTGGACCCTGAGTGAAAAACACAATAACTTTATTTTCAGCAACTTATTAACAGCTCTAATAAACCTGCAAGCGGCCAATTTCCTTGAAGTGTTGTTCTGATGGAATCTGACGGCCAGAAACAAAACAATTTAAGGTTCAATGTCCAGGTTTGCATCACGACCGTGTCTCTTCTTCTGCTTAGCTCCGCTAGAGCTTAAGCTGCAGGAAGCAAACAGCCAATTATCTGGAGGTCAGAGAAAACCTTTAAGCGGCCCCTTGTTGCCGAGCAGAACGCCGTCATCCGGGCTTACCTGAAGAAGGTATGATGCTCCACACAAACTTTCCACAGCTTCTTTGAGGCTTTGTAGCTGGGCAGCTTGAAGCCGATGGTGCTCTCGTACTGCTCCTGCTACAGATGGTTGACCCATTAAAACATATTTAGTTCAACAAATCTTTGTACCAACATGTTTTACTGGAAATAAACTTGATTTATTTTCTAATGGTGTGTGTGTGTCTAACACAACGCTTTCACAAATAAAGCTTTTCAAATATTTGGGTCAATTGCAACATAAAAGGTCTAAATTCGATGCTGAGTAATAGTAAAGCAGCCCTAAATGAACCTCTCTTTGCTAATATTAAGCTGTATTTTAATAATTAATGAGATCTGAAGTCAGGAACATGGTGGCTTTACCTCCGACGGCCTGATTTTGATGAAGAAGCTGCTCCGTTTGTAGGAGATTTTCAGCACTTTGGGCCAAGGGAAGCGGTTGATCCGGAGCTTGTCCTTGTAGACCATCAGGCCACTTGAGCAGACGCCCAGAGTGATGTCCACGCCGTCGAGGTCCTGCAGGTACAAACACACCAGCACCGTTACTGTCTCGCCTCCAGGGGGCAGACTTGTTTGCATGAGCCCACCGTGTAGTTTCAGGTCACAGGTCTACAACATTATTAATCCCTTGTTTTTTACTGACAAGGGGATGGCATCAATTTTGTAATTAAATCTGGACGTTGCTGATGCAGGACGCGGAGGCTGCTGCCAAATGCAACAAAGCATTTAAAAACAAACCACCGGGCGTGGCGCGGCTGTTGGGATTTCCAGTAAAAGAATCAAATAAAAGCGCTAAAGCCAACTCAGGGGAGTATTTACCCTGGCTTGGTGCAGGTCGACTCCATACATTGCAAGTTTCTTGGCATTCTCCAGAAACAACAGGTCGGCTTGGGCTGGACTCATCGACCTGACGACAGACAAATCATTTTAGAAGTGTTCATCATAACCTGCTTATAAGAGACATGTTTTCAGTTACATTGGGCTAAATTATGTTTATAACTAATGACAAATGAGAGACAACTTCAATCTGCCCACGCCCTGTGATAACCTGTAGGTACGGTGCAGCTCCATCACTTTATCCTCCAGCTCTTTGCTCTGTCCGGGGGCCAGGCTCAGATCTTTAACGTAGTCCGTTCCGTGGATCTCTGGGTCATATTCTCCCAGCTCCGACTGGACCGTGTAGGAGCCCAGCAGGGACAACGTGACAAAGGAACAAGGAAGAATGCCTTGCATAATGTCCTTTCTGAGCTGGAGACACAAAAAGTACCTGAAAAAGGCAGAAAAGAAAACACGTTCATGTAGGAAAACCAACGAGCACGGCTCCAGCAGGAGAGGTGTGAACCTGGTGAGGTCTTCGGTAAGCTGTGCTGGATCAGGAGGGTAGAACTTCACGCTGAACGTGAACTCATAAACAGCACCAGGGACTTGTTTTCGAATCTCTTTGGTGAGATCCAACCACGTCTGAGGAAACAAAACCCACAGCTCAGCATCTCTTACCTTTTCGGTTTGCCAGCATCTAAAAGGTCATCATCCTACCTTGCTGGTTGGGCTTTCCCAGTGGGCGAGGCCGAAGTAATCCTTCTCCATGAGGTTGACATGGTCACACACTTTTGTGAAGAGCTCTTGGCCTTTAGCATGTTTCTAAAGGAGAAACGAAGAGATTGCTCAGTCTAGATTCTGCAGGTCTGGAGCTGCACAAACACTCGTTTACACTCTTACATCGAGTTCACACTCAAACTGGGCGTCGTCCAGCAAAGACACTTTGCACTGCATGGTTCGGAGATGTTTGGCGCCTTTGGGTTCCTCCACCTTCTTCTCTGGTTCCTTCTTCTTCACAGGCTTCTCTTTCTTCGTCTCCTGCTTTGCTTTTTCCTCTCCTACGACCGCCTCCTCTTGTTCTGCTGGTTTCTCCTCCGTTTTCTTGGTGTCCTCCTTTTTCTCTTCTTCAGGCTCTTCCTTTATTTCTGATTTTTCTTTTGGCTCCTCTGGAGCTGGCTGAGTGAATCAAAGCAGAACATTTGAAAAATGTGTGGGATACTGAGAGTACCAGGGGCAACAATCGGATGACACAATGCTACACACGATGGACGATAGGTTGTCGTTTTTACGGCTGAACCCTCGCAGTAGTTTGTACACAGACTAACTGCTGAGATGTTTGCATGTAAATGCTCAATAACACACATCAGTTCAGTTTCATCACATAAAAATATTGCTAAACTTCAGCACATCGATATATTTTCTTACATCCCTGCAAAATACTTAAACGTGAAGCATTTAGCGAACAGCGAGAGATCCGCTTGTTCTTAGTTATTTCACTCTTGGATCACAATACGCCTCCCATCAAGGCGCTGAGCCTGGCAGAACAGGGCGCAGCGACCTGAACCGAGACCAGCAACAGGTCAGTCTGCCCCGACGCTCCTGCTTCCATCCGACTCCTCGTTTGTCTCGTAAGATAAAGAAATGTCCGTGTAATGATTTCCTTAATTTAAGGAAACTAAAGTGTTTTTTTTTTAAAACCGTCGCCTCCACAATGTGCTGACAAGCACGCCGTCGCTAGCGGCGCTGTGAATTTGATGCCAGACGGTCCGATGCACAACAAGTTCTGAATCTGACGGACGTTTCAGCAGTCATCCCGCTCTCTCGTCACTTCCTGTTCATAAATGTAACGAGTTTAGTGGTGCATCAGAATTATGGTAAAATGAGTAGACGGAAAAGGCGTTATTTATAGAGCGGGGGCAAATGTTTGTGCAGGGGGGGGGTTCCATTGTTTTCCGGTTAACTGGCTATTAACCGTTGAGGGGCGTCAACAAACGGATAAAGAAATATTAATAAAAGCGCTTCTATGCGGTTTACTTTGCTACGCAAAAAATTACTTTCTCACTACTGTTCCATGAGTTTGGGGTCGGAGTCAGAAGCTTCTGGATGATGGGTGTTGTGGTTCAGTCCAATCCAAATGTATTTATACAACACCTTTATCAACAGTGTCCCAGCTGACCAAGGTGCTGGACATCAAACAAAAGGAGACAAAAGTAGACGAGTCAAGAGGTCATATTAACCGTGTCGAACCACATCATTTAAAACAAAACCAAACCGACTACATAACACTGAAAACTACATCACAGGGCAAAACTGTTCTAATTTAAAGGAAGTGAAGCACCACGTTCGACTCACTTCACACATTGACTTCACTGAGAAATCGAGTTGCTGGAAATTGAAAAAGTAGCTCGAGATGTTTTTTGGAGCAGACTTTGGTTTTAATTTACCGTTAGCATTGTTAGTGCAACATTAACGTCTAGGCTACTTTACTTTACAAAAAGGTGCCGTGGCTTCTTCTGGGTCGCTCCTGTTTACTGACGTTGGTTCTTTAAACACCTCTGGAGCTTCAAACTGCCAGTGCCAGCACAGCAGCCTTAGCTGGGCGTCGCAGACTGTAAACAGTAACTATGTCCCACTTTTGTTTTTGTATCGGGGAAAACGGACAAGAATAATTAATGCCCTTACTTTGTAATTTTAACTTGTTGGTTCTATCGGTTTTATTCTTTGACGTGCGGCACCCTGGTGGCATGGCCGTGCCCGTTAGGTGCTTTATGAATAAAAGCAGACTTGAATAATCCTAAAGCATCTTATTAAATGTGAAATTTCGGGTTGATTTGGCCAGAAGGCTGCCTGGTCTGTCCTTTTCCTTCATGTCTAAATGAAGTTTCTCCCCCTCTAAAGGATCTCGCCCTGCAGACAACAGGACGTTTCTGTTTACTGTTGTTACGTTTGTGTTTCCCGGGTTTATTTTAGGGGAACCATGTTGGCTTTGCTTCACTAACTTGGCATGAAGTGTGAATGTTTGCTGTGAACTCCGTGCAGCTCACCTGGGTCTCTCCGCTACTGACGGAGTGCTGATCTGCAGCCTGTTCAGCGTCCAGCTCAGTTTTCAGTTCTGGTTCTGGATCAGCGATCGGCGCCTTCAGCAGCTCCTCCTTTTTCACCTCCTTCTTTCCTTTGCTCTTCCCTTTGTCTTTTTTCTTCTTCTTTTCCTCTTCCTTCTGTTGCTTTCCTTCTTCTCTATCCTCCTCCTCCTTAACCTCTTCTTTTACCGTCTCCACCTCCTTCTTAGATTCCTTTTCTGTCTTTTTTACCTCTTCTTCCTTTGCTTTCTCCTCCTCCCCCTTTTTGGACTTTTCCTCCTTTGTTTTGTCCTCCTCCGTCTTTTTGGACTTGTCTTCTTTTATTTTTTCCTCTTTTTTAGGTTTTTCCACCTTTGCTTTCTCCTCCTCCTTCTTACCCTTTTCTTTAGTCTTTTCCTCCTTTTTAGGTTTTTCCTCCTTCGCCTTCTCCTCCTCTTTCTTTTTTGTCTTCTCCTCTTTCTTTTTTGCTTTCTCTTCTTCTCTCTTTTTTATTCTTTCCTCTTCCTCTGCTTTCCTTTTTGCTTTCTCCTCTTCCTTTTTCTTTACCTTTTCCTCCTTCTCTTTTTTCTTGGCCTCCTTCTTGTCAACCTTTCCTTCTCCTTTCTTTCCAGCCTGGGCAGCTCTTTCTTTAACTTCAGCACTTTCTTTCTTGTCTTCTTTTGATTCTGGTTTGTCCTCCTCCTTTTCTACACTTTGCTTTCTCTTCTCTTCCTGTTTTTCTTCCTCTTTCTTTTCCGATTTTTCTTCTTTTTTTGTCTGGTCCTTTACTTTTCCTTCATTCTTTTCCTCAACTTTCTTTTTTGCTTCTTTCTTTTTCTTTTTACTTCCTTTCTTCTCAACCTTTTCTTCCACCTTCTTTTTCTCCTCCTTTTCTTCTATTTTTTCTTCTTCCTCCTTCTTAACTTCTTTGGTTTCTGATTTTTCCTCCTCAGCTTTTGTCTCCTTATCTTCACTCGTCACTTCTTCCACCTTTTCTTCGACTGGTTTGTCGACTTTCTCCTCTTTTTCTTCTCTGGCCTTCTCGGCCTCAAACCCCTCGCCCTCAGAACACTGCGAGCGGCGTTTCAGGAATGAGGAGAAGAGGCGCGACAGGCCTTTCCCGGCAGAAGTTCTGGTTCGAGGCTTCAGCTGCTCCTCCTCAGGGGAGGAAACTGCATCTGCCGGCCCAGGCTCGGCGGCCTCCTCCTGGGACTTCTTGCTGGAAAGCTGCCCTTCCTGCTCGGATGCTGCTGCCCCCTGCTTGTTCCCCGATTCAGATTCGGACTCAGGCGAAGCCCCTCTGGTCTTCTGCTTGCCTTCGGTGTCTGCCTCACTCACGGCGCTTGCCTCTGTTGTCATGGTAGCCACTGGGGAAGGAAAACATAGGGGAGTCAGAGATGGGGAAAGGTCACAGAGCCTGACAGAAGTCGGCCTGGTGACTTAAAACAAAACAAGACAGGCAGCCAACAGAGTCCATGTGGGAAACTTCACACTTTACTTACTGTGAATGATTTCTGATGGTGATACAATCAATTATGATGGGAGTTTGCCCAACCAATCCACATGTGTTTTGTGGATTTGGAGAAGGTTTATGACCGTGTCCCCAGGGGCACCCTGTGGGGGACGCTCCAGGAGTACGGGGTGGGTGGCTTTCTGTTAAGGGCCATCCAGTCCCTTTACCAGAGGAGCGTGAGTTTGGTCCGCATAGCCGGTAGTAAGTCGGACCTGTTCCCGGTGAGGGTTGGACTCCGCCAGGGCTGCCCTTTGTCACTGGTTCTGTTCATAACCTTTATGGACAGAATTTCTAGACGCAGCCGTGGTGTGGAGTGTGTCGAGTTTGGTGGCAGGAGAATCTCGTCTCTGCTTTTTGCGGATGATGTGGTCCTCCTAGCTTCATCCAGCTCTGACCTTCAGCTCTTGCTGGGTAGGTTCGCGGCCGAGTGTGAAGCGGCCGGGATGAGGATCCTCACCTCCAAATCTGAGACCATGGTTCTCGACCGGAAAAGGGTGGCTTGCCAACACCGGGTCCAGGGAGAGGTCCTACCTCAAGTGGAGGAGTTTAAGTATCTCGGGGTCTTGTTCACGAGTGAGGGTAGGAGGGATCGGGAGATCGACAGGCAGATTGGTTCAGCGTCTGCAGTGATGCGGACGCTGAGCCGATCTGTCGTGGTGAAGAGGGAGCTGAGCCAGAAAGCCAGGCTCTCGATTTACCGGTCGATCTACGTCCCAATCCTCACCTATGGTCATGAGCTTTGGGTAATGACCGAAAGAACAAGATCGCGGATACAAGCGGCTGAAATGAGTTTCCTCTGTAGGGTGGCCGGGCTCAGCCTTAGAGATAGGGTGAGGAGCTCGGACATTTGGGAGGGACTCGGAGTAGAACCGCTGCTCCTCCGGATCAAAAGGAGTCAGTTGAGGTGGTTTGGGCATCTGGTCAGGAAGCCTCCTGGACGCCTCCCCGGGGAGGTGTTTCGGGCATGCCGTGCCGGCAGGAGGCCCCCGGGTCGACCCAGGACACGTTGGAGAGGTTACATCTCCAATCTGGTCTGGGAACGCCTTGGGGTCCTGCCGGAGGAGCTGGTGGAGGTGGCCGGGGAGAGGACGGTCTGGAGCTCCCTAGTTGGGATGCTGCCCCCGCGACCCGGACCCGGATAAGCGGAGGAAGACGACGATGATGATCAGTTAGAGATGACTGTGGGGTTTTAATCCCATTACAAAGTCTGGTTTCTGTACATTTCTGACATGATGCTTCAAATCTAAGATCCATAAATGAATTCAAACGTTCTCACACTGGCTGAATCGTTTCTACAGATCAGCTGATCTGGAACTAAAAAAATCGTATTTTCTTCCTTTGTGAACATTTAATAACCGAGCAGCAGGCTCCATGAACTCACCACCGTTCATTTTAAACTTTCAATAATAAATTACCCTCATTTTACTCGGATGTTTCGCTTGATCACACACTAACGCATCACCACTAACGCATCACACACTAACGCATCACCACTAACGCATCACCACTAACACATCACACACTAACCCATAACCACTAATGCATCACCACTAACGCATCACCACTAACACATCACCACTAACACATCACACACTAACCCATAACCACTAATGCATCACCACTAACACATCACACACTAACCCATAACCACTAACGCATCACCTCTAACGCATCACCTCTAACGCATCACACACTAACGCATCACCACTAACGCATCACCACTAACACATCACACACTAACGCATCACACACTAACGCATCACCACTAACGCATCACCACTAACACATCACACACTAACGCATCACCACTAACGCATCACCACTAACACATCACCACTAACACATCACACACTAACGCATCACCTCTAACACATCACCACTAACGCATCACACACTAACGCATCACCACTAACGCATCACCACTAACACATCACACACTAACGCATCACCACTAACACATCACACACTAACGCATCACCACTAACACATCACCACTAACGCATCACACACTAACACATCACCACTAACACATCACACACTAACGCATCACCACTAACACATCACCACTAACGCATCACACACTAACGCATCACCACTAACGCATCACCACTAACACATCACACACTAACGCATCACACACTAACGCATCACCACTAACGCATCACCACTAACACATCACACACTAACGCATCACACACTAACGCATCACCACTAACGCATCACCACTAACACATCACACACTAACGCATCACCACTAACACATCACACACTAACGCATCACACACTAACGCATCACCACTAACGCATCACCACTAACACATCACACACTAACCCATAACCACTAACGCATCACCTCTAACGCATCACACACTAACGCATCACCTCTAACGCATCACCACTAACGCATCACCACTAACACATCACACACTAACCCATAACCACTAATGCATCACCACTAACGCATCACACACTAACCCATAACCACTAACGCATCACCTCTAACGCATCACCTCTAACGCATCACACACTAACGCATCACCACTAACGCATCACCACTAACACATCACACACCAACCCATAACCACTAACGCATCACCTCTAACGCATCACACACTAACGCATCACACACTAACGCATCACACACTAACCCATAACCACTAACGCATCACCACTAACACATCACACACTAACCCATAACCACTAACGCATCACCTCTAACGCATCACCTCTAACGCATCACACACTAACGCATCACCACTAACGCATCACCACTAACACATCACACACCAACCCATAACCACTAACGCATCACCTCTAACGCATCACACACTAACGCATCACACACTAACGCATCACACACTAACGCATCACCACTAACGCATCACACACTAACGCATCACCACTAACGCATCACACACTAACGCATCACACACTAACGCATCACCACTAACGCATCACCACTAACACATCACACACTAACCCATAACCACTAAAGCATCACCTCTAACGCATCACACACTAACGCATCACACACTAACGCATCACCTCTAACGCATCACACACTAACGCATCACCACTAACGCATCACACACTAACGCATCACACACTAACGCATCACCACTAATGCATCACCACTAACGCATCACCACTAACACATCACACACTAACCCATAACCACTAACGCATCACCTCTAACGCATCACACACTAACGCATCACACACTAACGCATCACCTCTAACGCATCACACACTAACGCATCACCACTAACGCATCACCTCTAACGCATCACCACTAACGCATCACCACTAACGCATCACCACGCTGAGTGCCACGATGCTCTAATCAAGAAAAACATGGAAGCTAAAACTCCCGTTAGTCGCTGAACTATAGTTTTAACTTATACCTATTTAACCTGAGTATAAAACATATTTATGAAACATGATGCAAACGCTCACCCACAAATTATAATCTAGTGCGACACATACACAAACATTATTCCATCACACAATAGCCTCTCTTGTTGGAGAGCGGACTCATTAAATCTCACCGACACAAAGGAAGCATTCTGCTCAGGACCGGCCAGTTAGCCCAGCCCGGGCCATCCTCAACAAGCATGCCAGGCTCATCACACACACACACACACACACACACACACACACACACACACACACACACACACACGCACACACGCACGCACACGCACGCACACACACTCACACATACACACACAAGTAAACACACATGCATGTAAACACACACGCACATTCACACGCACGCACACACACGCACGCACACGCACGCACACACACGCACACAAGTAAACACACATGCATGTAAACACACACGCACATTCACACACACACACACACACACACACACACACACACACGCACGCACACACGCACACACACGCACACACACACACACACAAGTAAACACACATGCATGTAAACACACACGCACATTCTCACACACACACACACACACACGCGTGTGCACACACACACGTGCGCACACACACATGCATGTAAACACACACACACACACGCACGCACAAGTAAACACACATGCATGTAAACACACACACACACACACACAAGTAAACACATACACTCACACATGCATGTAAATACACCTATATACAAAAACACACACGCACAAACACACACACACACACACACATAAACTCATACATGTATGCACATGCATATAAACACACACACCTACACACACTTGTAAAAACATGTATGCACGCATGTAAATGCTCATTAACACACACAAACATGCACATGCACACATACACGCATGTAAATGCACACACACACACACACACACGCGCACGTAAAAACACGCACGCGCGCACACACACACGATGGGATTCAGTAGCCTGAAACAGAGTTTCTGATGGACAACTCTGATGTGGCGGCCTGCAGTCACATCTGAGAAACGCTGTAAACCACCTGAAGCTGTTATCCAATCACGTTCACCGTGGTTAGGTTAGGGCAGATTCACCCGTCAGAGCTCCTGGTGTTCGATCGATGCTTTGATGTGACAGATCTGTGTCTGAGTAACGTGGCTAAACGTCTCATTGTAGTTCAAGTCCCATCCTGCTCTTTATGGTGTGGGTGTGAGTGGGGGTGGCACATGCCAGACAAGACCAATCTTCCAGATGTACCGGGACGCCCTGAAGGGTGCATCCTGGATCTGTAGAGCCAGTGGGACGGGAGGAGGGAGTACACCACCAGACCAAATCCTCTTTAGCCCTCCCATTGTTTGTATCCAGTGACCAATAACTGTGCTGCACTCTATTACTAATCCTGCCTTCCCCTCCCCCAACAAGACCCCCCCCCCCATAAGTCTGTTCCTTAAGTCTCACACACACACACATGCACGCGCACAAACACACACACCTTTATGCATGGCCGCTCACGGCCTCCTGTGGGTGCCTTAACGCTCCGTCATCTTGATTCTGATTGTCAGGAAGCAGACCTGCTCCTAATGGACCAGCTGAGCTTGTGTCTGCTGCCTCCTCCATTTTGTGTCTCCCCTCTAACATCTCTGCTATCGGCCAGCTGAGCCGGGCGAGCCCGCTCCACTCCCAGCCTCGGTCAGCCGGGATCTCTCACTGAGGCCATCAATCTCCTGTAATATGACAACCAGTTCCTGCCTCCTGCTGCTGCAGAGGCACAGAACACATTAAATGATGCAATAATGTTAGGAATTAATCCGACCTCAATCACAGTGTGTGTAATGAGCTGAATTATAGATGAAGTAGGCCACCCTCTGAGCAGGAGCGAGTGCAAACACAGAGACTGGAGCATCGCTCAGTTTGAAGATTTTCTAAGTAGTAGATTCCCATTAAAGATGGAATTTATCCCCCGCCCTGCAATAATGAAGGAAAACAGCAGCTTTTCTGCCGCAAACATCGGATCACAAGAGTTTCAGGAATCAGATCTGATCCCAAAGCCCTCACGTGTTCCCTTCCTTCATCAAAATCAGAAGAGCTCGCTGGGAAGCAGGAGGTTGGGAGTACAAATAGATACGTGTGTGCAAGATGCAGGCACTCATTAGCTGGCCTTTACAGACACGCTCATTTCTATTTTCGTTCACAGTGTACACGCATATGCACATGTGCAAACATGTGTGCACAGAGGCAAACGCTGCCATCACCTCTGAATCCTCGCTTTTAGGAAAAGCTGGAGCTAATTTACAGCTTAGTCTCGCTGGAATCGGTGCACTGCTTCGCCTAAACGAACTAAAGAGAGATCTAAAAATAGAACCAAACTACATCAATAGTAGAACATAAAGAAAGCATGTTTGCTGGACGCCAGGCGCAGGCTTAAGGAATTAAAAGGAGTTTAGAGTTAATCAGCCCACAAGTGAGATTATCTTCATCTACCTGCCTACAGTATCCATCCACTCTGTTGGTCTGCCTCAGTGTGAATGTGTGTGTGTGCGTGTGTGTGTGTGTGTGTGTGTGTGTGTGTGTGTGTGTGTGTGTGTGCGTGCGTGCGTGCGTGCGTGCGTGTGTGTGTGTGTGTGTGTGTGTGTGTGTAGAGGGAGAAAGAAAAGCTGCTGGAAGTGATACTCTGTGCTGATTCATGGTTTTATGTGCTGCCCCGCCTATTAGGCTGAACATCAACAGAAATGGAATTTAAGCCACAATAAACATGCTGGCTCCTGTACACACACACACACACACACACACACACACACACACACACACACACACACACACACACACACACACACACACACACACACACACACACACACACACACACACACACACCTTCCCAGTAACAAGGTGGTGTTAAAAGAGCTCAAACTTTGAACCAGGGTGTTTGGAACAGACCTGAGCGTGCTCAGCTGCTGCTGATGTTTAAACCCGTTCTTAGGGAGAGTCCAGACCTAAACTAATCAATAAGCACAGATGGTGTGTGAGCCTGATGCTGTAACATGAGGCGACATGGGAAAAGGATGAAGAGGCATGATTGATCTACGGCTGCCCTGAAAGCTACTTTGCATCCATTTGGAGCATTGTCCAGAGTCGCAGGAGGAATCATGTAAAAGCTGTAGTATGATTTATGTTTCTACTCAGCTTTCAGCGTTTCAAAATTCTATGTGTTAGACGAGTTTAAGACATGCAAATCCTGGTTTTTGACTTGGTGGCTGCTCTAATCCACCGTCACCATGTAGACAAATGAGCAGAATACTGAAGGCTGCAGAGGTCCGTTCCCTGAGTCTAGCTGCACGAATGCATCATAACTCCCACAAGAGGATTACACCAGCCGGGCTCTTCTGAGACCTCGATGACCTCACTGCACACACCAACAACATCCTTCAGCATCACCTGGGTTTAGCTCCGAGTGCGTGTTTACCACACAGCTGATTCAGCTGGACTGACCCGCAGCACTTGGGTCTGACCACCTCTGACCCTTTATGTTTCTTCTCTTTCTGCAAGAATCTGGCAGTTACAACCGCCTGTAGGTCTCATCCTCCCTACTCACATCTGCAGCTCTCCACACAAGATTATCCGACTATATATATTCAGCCGTATCATCAATGGAGATGAGAATTATTGGATGAGATGGTCCTGCGCATGTTATGGGCTGCACAGAAATAAAAAAGCTATTCACAAAAGCCGCCCTTTCAGCAGAGAGGAGTATTTTTAACCCGAACTTCCCTAAAGGGGACAAAGGCAAGGCAAGTGGAGCAGAAAGTGAAACGCAGAGCAGAGGCAGCTCTGGAGCAGCACAAACATCTAACACGCTTTTGTTACTGTAACCAAGAAGACCAACAACAACAATTACATTTAACGGCATTAAAATATTGTTTTTGTTTACATTAATGTTAACCAGCCAATAAACACGTTTACGTCATTTAAAAAATAAAACGTGACGTTTTACATGAAACGTGTGACACATTCATTCATTCACGTCACAGAACAACATCCAGCAGGGACTAGTTTACATTCACACACACAGCCCGACCGTCTGACCTGCGGTAACCAGCGCGTGTCCTTGTTTGTGATGAAGTATTGTTTGTTGCGTCGGGGGCGCACGCACGCGGGGGCATTTAAACAATCCGTGCATGAAAATGGCGCCGAATCTCAAACAAAAACACAGCCAGGCTCCGCCGCCGCGGACTCGCACAGCCAGCAGCTCTTACCTACTCTGGGTTTGGCATGAAGGAGAAGAAACCGGGGAAAGCCACTGAAGTCTTGATTATTCCGCGCGCTCAGAGGAAACCGCGCTGCTCAGCCGCACATGCTTTGTTGTGCTGCTGAAGCTGTCCTGATGCTGCTCGTAAAGGGGCGGAGCCTCACCGAGCGTCTCTCCCGCAGCACAGGGACAAGTCCGAAACCCGTTATGTCGAGAGATGTTATTAAAATATGTAAATGAACCAACAAAAATCATTAAAATGCATGCAACACTTTTATAAGTATTTAAATGCATTTATACAGAATCACTTTTAAAACATCTAGGTTTAAATGGGTGTGTGTGTGGCCAATAACAGCGTGGACTTGACTGGGTGCAAATTCATCACTGAATAAACTCTATTTGTATGAAAGTCTTCTTAACCTGCTGGGACTGTTGGTTCCTGCACGTGTCTAGGAGACGTTTGAAGCCCGCATCTTCCTGGTTATACCTTGAACTCACTGCTAGAAGTTCCACATGTGGCCTGAAGACTGTTGTGAGGCTAGATGTTTCGTTGGGCTGCGACTGTTTTAGAGAATTCCTGCATTTACAGGGGCAGATCTACAGGATGGCATAAGGGTGGCAACTGCCCCTTGCTGTAGCGCTTTGCCCCTGATGCCCCTACACACACACACACACACACACACACACACACACACACACACACACACACACTCACACACGCAGCGAACCTCTCTTCAAAGAGGTAAAATCAGTAATTTGAGCTTTTTTTTATTTGATTTCAGTGGTTATTTATTACTCAATTTAGTTTGTGGAATGTTTGTTTTTCCTTATTTATACATAAAAGTATCTTTGTTTTCCAAGTAAGAATAATAACTTTACATATAGCATTAAAGTGTTTTTCTGAATATTTCGTTGATTCTAATTACATGTATGGCATTTTCACATGAGGAGGGCCAGTATTTCCACCCTGCCTATGCCTAATGCCCTTCCTTTGTGGCTAAACTGGAGCACACAAATGTGCATGACGATCAAGTAACTTAAGAACTTTGTTTGCAATTTTGGCATGTGTCCAAGATGACCAAAACAATGACAAAAATCCTATTTCAGAGTCATATCAACTGAATTATACTTGTGCTCATCATTTTGTTTCTCCATCTGGTCTCTAACAGATGTACCCAAGTGAAATAGTGATTTAAACAAATCAATAGTTTCATTGTTTGAAACATAAAAGTACATTTTTACTTTCTGAGTTAAAATAAAACTGAATCAAGTGAAAATTTCACTCTAAAAAACAATCTTACAGTATTTTGTTGTAAATCCAACAAATCTTCCTAGCTAATTAATTATACGTCTGAAAAACAAGAAATATTCAGGTTTAGTCAAACAAACATTTGTCAATAAAATTGGTAACCTGTATTAACCATTATTTTAAAACTTTCAAATACCTTTGGAGCCTGTATAGTGAAACCACTAAACAAATATTGACAGAGGTCAGAGTCCAGAAACGGCTGGGAAGCTGAGCAGCTACAGAAATATTCTTCTGTTGAGTTTCTGACCCGACACAGCAAGATGCAGAAACAGACCTGGTTTGGGAAATCCAGGAGGAAATTAACGCTGGCTGAAATAAACGATGCCAAACACGACATAATTCAAAACCCCAGGCATGTGCATCTGATCACGTGCACACAGCTAGACACTATCTGTCTCAGTGAAACCCGGCATGGTCCCCACCCATCTGCCTGACCCCATTAGGGCCATACAGCTTATAGGCAGAGTGGGTAGGAAGTGGGGGGGTTGTGGAGTAAAGGGGTTTATTATTCTCCCAGCCACACGGTAAGGCACCATCTTTTTTCCCAAGCTTTTGTGGCACGCTAATCACTGGCCTGTAATTTCTAAACTATGTTTGCTATTAAATAAAGAGAACGCCTTACCAGTTTAAATCCAGCTCTGAAGCAGCTATCATGAAATGTTGGGAAAGCCCAACTACGGCTGGTATTTACTTGCTTAGACTTTGATCACAAAGCAAACTGCTCTCTCCTGCAGTGCAACAGCAGACCAAACAGTGATGTTACACATTGACTAAATTATGACAGAACAGTGGGATGAGAAAGTGAAGGGAGACAGGACTTTGGTTTTATTTATTCACCTAGAATCTACCTTTTTTGGCTTAGACTATGGACCTAAAAAAATTGTTGACAAGCAAATGAAGAGCAAGCCTTCCGTTGCTTAGAAACCACTGCCCATCCCTGTGCCTCCTGCAAGGAGCAGGTGTTGGAGATGGACCCAGGAGAGATGGGAATGACAGAATACTGATGGGAGGAGAGGAGCAGCAGCACTTACAGTCCCACAGTCCCCTGAGACAGCGACAGCATGGAACCACAGACACCGAGACGACCCACTCCTCTTCTGCAGACACACCCAAAACACACAAGCACTCCAGCGTCCACCCCCCCCCCCCCCCCCAACTGTTCAAAAGGCAAGCACGCACGTACGACGTGCAGCGTATTTACTTCAGCTGAGCGCTCTGGGGTTATGTTTGTTTGGAACATCTTTATCCCTTTCTGGCACCGTCGCTCAGCGATTACATAATCACAACCCAGTTCATCTCTCTCTGACTTTCAGTGGTGCATCCAGGTACAGATAGCACACCACATCCGCTGCCTTCAAATCTTATGTAAAACAACATGTGCAGCTTTGAAAATGCCTAATATCAGATGGGATTGTGTGTATCGGAGGCATGGGTGCAGGGGTTTGATTTGTGCTGAGCTCTCAGAAACGCCAACAGAACGGATGGTAGCGGTGCATCAACATTCACAGAGCACCATTAAGTTATGAAATATTAATGAACCAGGAATGGTTCCTTCTTTCACGGTTTTCTGCTAACAGGCATCTCTGGAATTGTTCATTCTTTCACAAATATTTCAGATTTTGCAGTTTGGTGAATTAAATCTAGAAAATTATTTCAAATTTCATGTATGCATATTATTACAAATTACATTAGGATGTGGTGTTTGTGCGGCCATAAATCAGCTGCTTGAAGAGACAAACAATGCTAATCTGTAACTTCAAACGAAAACAGATTTCCAGGAAGTGTGCATGAGCTGAATACAATCAAAACCTCAAATAATGTCAAATAGGACTTTACAGAAACATGAAGCTCACAGGACAACAAACTCATTGTGACCGAAATTTCAGCCTCAACAGTGGTTTGTGTTTGGTTTGTTCCACTGTAATAACAAGGTATTGTTAGTTTACACTGACACCTAGTGGAGATGAGGGAGTACAGCACACAGGCGGACCAAAGGCTGGTGACAAATCAGGTAAAACAATCAGCAGGCCAGCATCACACAGGTACATTTGAAATCCCCTCATACACTCACTAATACACTCACTGGTCACCTGATCTTTTGGATCTTAACACAAATAGCTAATGACATGGATGGAAACAACACAATGCACTTAGGCATTGCGGCAATTCAAAATACGCATAAGAAGGTAAAATCATCAGAAGGAATGGGACAAACGTCCACTATGCTGGCGATACTCAGTTGTATTTGTCCATAAATCCTGATGAACTTAATGAGGTAGGTAGATTACAGGCTTGTCTTGAATACATATAAATCTGGATGACTCTAAACCTTTAGCTGTTAAATCCACACGAGACTGAAGTTGTCATCTTTGGACCAGAACCTCTGAAAAGGAAACTGCGGAGTCAGTCACCTGATCAGACATTAAACTAGGATTAAATTAGTCTCCGAGAACAAAGTAAGGAACCTTGGTGTTATCTTTGACCAGGACATGTGTTGGGTATTTTTATAATTGTACATTTTTGAGGCCTAAAAGATGCCCATTTTGTGTTATTAACACAAAATGAATCTCTGTTTTTGCCAACTGTTGCTGTTCATGAAAGGTTGAGCAAGGATGTTGATTGTGGGTTTCCAATTGAAAACTGTACCTCTGTAACCTGAGAAGGCCCGCCTTCTCCCCCATCCTTTTGCTGAATAAAGCCCCTGGGAAACTGAGGAGACGGGGGAGTGACGGGGGAAAAGCCTCGGAGGAGGTTTTTCCCTGCGTTAACTCTCCTTTATTTTGGGGACTCAGGGTAAAATGTCTCCCTTATTGTCATGTGTGTTATTTCAGGTTCGAGGGTTATGGAGATTAAATATTACCCCACATGTAATTACTTAACATTTTGGTGGAGATGCCGGGGATGCAGAGCTGGTGACCTGAAGGCTTTCCCCAGGAACAGAGGGGGGCTGGTTAGCTCCATGGAGGGGTTTCTGCGCCCAGCTCTCGCATGACGATTCATGGACATTGCAAATAATCTCTCTCTCTCTCTGTGTGTCGTCCTTTAAGGTAATATGGGAACTAATCTAAAATTACCTATCAACATGTCATTCAAATCCCAGGTTAAACAGGTTTGTAGGATTTCCTTTTTCCACCTTCGGAATATTGTTAAGATTTGAAGCATCCTTTCCAGGAGTGATGCTGAAAAACTAGTTCATGCATTTATTACATCAAGACTGGATTACTGTAATTCATTACTCTCAGGAAGTCCACAGAATGTAGTTAAAAGTCTTCAGCTTGTCCAAAATGCTGCAGCTAGAGTTCTGATGAGAATTACAAAGAGAGATCATATCACTCCTGTCTTAGCTTCCCTACATTGGCTACCTGTTAAATTCAGAATAGATTTTAAGATCCTTCTTCTCACATATAAAGCTCTTAATAATCAAGCTCCATCATACATCAGTGATCTACTTGAGAGGGAGGTGGAGTGTACAGTCGGTGACTCTCCCTTACCCTGCCTCCAACATGCCTCCATCTAAAAGGCTAGGTTATCCTGAGTTATCTCTGTAGTTATGCTGCTGTAGGCTTAGACTGACCATCCCCATTCTACTACCTTCATCTACAACTACTTTCCAGTTGCATTATTTCTTGTTATTTCAGCTGTTAACACTATTTGCTCTCTAATGCCGCTTACACACTGGCATCGGCACCACTCCTCCCCGCCCGCTGCAGCCGCGTTCATTTCACCCTGCCTTAGGAATGTGGACATGACTGAGCAAAGGGGTGGTCTATGATGTCATGAGCGCATCTCCGAGTACACGGACTGGGCACAAGGACGTGGACAAGTCCACCATTTACCATTTGTCATTCCTAAGTTTCCCACATCACAGCTGAGTTTCAGACGGCAGGTATGGAGTATTTCCTGATAATTAGACATCTTGCCTCAAAATGGATAACCGCAACACAACTGACTTGCAACATTAATGCTTTATCTCCACAAATAACACAAGCCTGGGGGAGCTTCTGCTGTGCGGTGAAGTTGCTAACGATAACAGTTAGCTTAAACTAGCTGAGATGTCCGCTGCTGATTCCCGGATGTAAAAACAGCAGCCTTCCCTGTCGTAAGTCAAGACTGGTGAGTCAATGGATGCTAATTCACAGTGTGACGTAGATCTGCGAGGATTTTCAGAAGCTATCAGAAGCTAATGCAGGAGATGGGTGTAGGAGACAATTTTCAAGTTCAGCCTGCATGAAAACCTCTGAGTGAGCGATTATAATTAAAAATGGCTTTTCATGTTTGAAGACCCAGTCAGCGTAGTTTTTGTTTGAGGGGAATCTGCATCACTTCAGCTCCACTTTATCACAGCAGCGTGCAGCATGTGGAGAGCATGTGTTCATGAGAGATAAACGTGTGTTTTGATCTCAGAGGCCTCAGAGAAGACGCACACTCACAACACCCCTCCCAAAACCGCTCAGCTGACATCTGTTTAAGAACAAATGCATAGCATAATTTTGGCGCCAAGCTGCCACTGGGAACGTACATCCATGACTTGAGCACAATGCTGTTGCTATGCAGACTACATAAGAGACATGTTGCTAACGGACATTTACACCTTTTACAGCTGCTCTAGACGCTCCTCAACACGGTCCCCTTGCTCTACCGACACTTCATACCATCACTTCCTTTATTACAGTTATGTACTTTACCTTCACGTTACCTAAAGATATCCACTCACTAGGACCTGAACATGTAGTGAAGTGACATTAAAAGACTATTTGATTTGAACTTATCAGCTATTATTTAAAGGAATAATGGCTGATAGTTTTCCAATCAGATATACATTAGTTACAGCTGGGGTGGCGTCTACATTACACAACCATTAATATGTTTTTATCATTACAATAATATTCAAAATAAGGTAAATGGATTCATATAATATTGTCTTTTATTTGAATTACAACTGCAGAAACATCTCTAAGGTTATTTTACATAAATTAAATATTTTATACTCACATTAGTTTGTGTTGTGGGTCATTGTAGCAGTTCCAGATGGTGTGGCCAAAGAAAACATGGAGAAACACAAAAACAATGCATTAGTTCATGAAATATTAACTCATTTCATAGGAAACATTTATAAAATTCATTGGTTTAACTTCATGGGACTGATAGTAAATAATAATACTGTAGATAAAGTATTACGTTCAAGGATGAGGATTATAAAAATTTCTAAATATTTGATATATGATTAAATGTATATTATAATGTCAAATAAATGACTTTGTCTCTTATGTTCTGGTGATTTGGGGGATAAAGTCCTATCAACAGCGTCCTTCACTGACATTAATAGTCATTTTAAAGCGCAGCTTCAATTCTAACGCGGTTTTTAAAGGTTTAAACGTCATTTTTAAGTTATAATATGGACTGGCGGCCCAATGATCTCTGACCTGTCCGTGTTGGACATAATCCTCCTGAACGGCTGAACTCCAAACCAGCCACTGCCGCCAGGAAGCGTCACAACAAGGTGGTAAACTGGTAGAGAACAGGTGTGCAGCAGGTAAAGCAGTAAAACAAGCAG